CGAGGGACGAGGTTCCGAGCCGAGAGACAGCTAACAAACGCTGTCTCTTCAGGCTTTGACGCGCTCCCAGGCGGGCGGCTAACAAAAGCCGCCATGCAATGCAGCCTGTCACCACCGGAAGTCAGTGCTGTTGTAACTTTGAATGGTCACTAAATGAACTGTTGTAAGTTGAGGACTACCTGTAAAAGGTTTGCTAATGGAAACCACACTCCTCAAAGACCCACTCAGGGAAAATTAAGCAATTGGTGTTTACATTCCCACCATGAATGGGAGGGATAAAGAAGCAAGGAACTACAAAATTAGGGAGGGGGGGGCATAGGAAATGTGTTCAAGACAGACTACTAGGCCATTACAATGGCCACAGCAGAGGAAGGGGCTGAAATTCAGAAAAGGATTTCTTTAGCTTGCTTTATTTCTACCCACTTTAGGCACAGGAGTTGAGGAGCTTAAATCTGTGAAGTTGGGAAAAAAACTCACCCTTTATTAACAGCATCATACTTTGCTGCTCCAGCTTGCTTGCAAGTAAGGCAGGACAAGAAGCAATGGATGAAAACTAATCAAGGAGAGAAGCAACCTAGAACTAAGGAGAAATTTCCTGACAGTGAGAACAATTAATCAGTGGAACGACTTGCCTCCAGAAGTTGTTGGATGCTCCAACACTGGAGGTTTTAAATAAGAGATTGGACAATGATCTGTCTGAAATGGCATATGGTCTCCTGCCTCAGCAGGGGGTTGGACTAGAAGACCTCCAAGGTCCCTTCCAACTCTGTTATTCTGTTACGTAGAGGTAGTTAACTTTGTAAGGTGGAGATTGAAGAAAAAAAAGTGGGAACTATGGACAACATCCTGAATTCCTTAGATCAGAGGTCCCCAACCTTTTGAGCACCAGGGACCGGTTCCGTGGAGAGGTTTTTCTGCGGACCGGAGGGGACGTGGTTTCATGCCTGCATCCCATGGATGGGGCTTTGCTTGTTTGCGAGGACCAGTTTCTGGCACGCTGCGGTCCGGTGCCAGTCCATGGACCTGGGGTTGGGGAAGGCACTTTGAAAAGAATTCTATACTATAACTGTTATATCTTCGGTTCTTTAGGCATTGAATGAGGCAGAGTGTTGAAACAGCAACAAGTTTATTAACTCAGAACAGAAGCAGCCCTAAAGGCTGCTGCACAGCTATTTATACAGTTAGCCTCTAGGTGGCAACCAATAGGTTTAAAGTAACAGTTTCCGGCCCCAGACCACGTTATCAGCTTGGAGACAGCCAGTCTGGCTTTCAGTAACAGCAACTGTTAAACAATACAGCAATGTAGGTCAGACATTAAGCAAGTGATTTAAAACAGTTGTGGCCAATACATTACACCCCTTCCCCCTAGTTGGCTCAAACTCTCAATTGCTGGACATAGTCCTGCAGATATTTAGGCGGCCTTCTTGACCATTCTGAACGTCTAGGGGTTGCAGGGGTCTCCCGGTCTACCCACTCGCCTGCCCAGCTGGGTAGATCAGGATTCTGAGGTCCAGTGAAGTCAGGTTGACTCAGGTCCCTTTGGCTGGCCAGTCCCGGTTGGCCCAAACCAAAGTCCAATCGTGCAGCAAAGTCTGCAGGGCTGTCCCTCAGCGCAGTTTGCCGGTCCTGTTCAGCGGATACTTTCTGTCTGTCCGGGGGAAGCTCTCCTACGGCCTTTTCCCCGTCTCCTTGAGTAAGAGTTCTGTTGGAGCGTGCAAGATCCTCTGTTGGGCCACTATCGCACAGCCCTTGCGTGCAGCCCTCTTGAGAGGCCTGAGCCAGCGACTGGTTCGCTAGCCTCCGACGCAGCTGGTCAATGTGCCGGCGAATGACTTGCCCATCTTCCAGGACCACCTCATAAGAGAGTGGTCCTGACACCTTAACAACCACGGCTGCCACCCACAAAGCCCCTTGCCCGTAATTCTGGGTCCAAACCCAGTCACCCACTTGCAAATTCCAAGGTGCCTTTGACTGAGCAGAGTCCGAGGCGACCCAGTTGGGGTGCAGCCTGTCCAGCTTGGTGATCAAACGGCCCCATCTGAGTTTGGCAGGGCTTCTGCCCGTGGCGGTACAGGGAGTTGTGCGTTGGCAGAGTAGAAAATCTGCCAGTCTGTGGTGCCAATCCCCTGTGACAATCCATTTTAGTGATTCCTTGGTTGTGCGGACCATGCGTTCCGCTTGGCCGTTCGAGGCCGGGTGAAAGGGAGCCGACGTGGCGTGCCATATTAGATTTGCCCTGAGGAAAGACTGGAATTCAGAAGCGGTAAACTGAGCCCCATTGTCTGAGACTAACACGTCTGGAAGTCTGTGTGTTGCAAAGATTCTGCGCAGTTCCTGGATGGTCCTGGCAGTAGTCATAGTAGGGACTGGTGCGACCTCTAACCATTTAGAATGGCTATCTACCACTATTAGAAACAGGACTTCCGGTGGCGATCGCGGCGCCGATGGCGGCTTTTCTTTGAGCCGTCTGCCCCGAGGACGCGTCAAAGCTGCAGGAACAGCGCACAACAGCTGTTCCGCGGCTCGGAATCCCCCTCCCCGGGCCTACCAACTACGAAAGAAGCAGAAGTCAAGAACTATAGAGAAAATAGATTATAATGGTAAAGTGACATCTCAACAAAATTTGATTAAAAAGAGCTTTTTGGATTTTTATTCTAAATTATATGCTTTTGAAAATATACAACTTGAAGAAATAGACAATTATTTACAGCAGGCACATTTTCCTAGATTGTCAAGTAATCAAAGGGAAAAGATGAATTGTTTAATAACTTCTGAGGAGATTAAGGGGGCAATTAAGCAATTAAAAGTTGGTAAGGCTCCTGGTACAGATGGACTAACAGCAATCTATTACAAGATGTTATCTGAAGAAATGATAGAACCGTTAAAGGAATTGTTTAATAGTATTTTGTTAGGTGAAGAGGTACCTTCGTCTTGGAGAACTGCTTTTATATCGTTAATCCCAAAGGAGGGTCAGGATTTGACTCAACCTAAGAATTATAGACCTATATCTTTATTGAATACAGATTATAAGATTTTTTTCAAAGGTATTGGCAAACAGATTAATGCAAGTGTTGAGCCAATTGATTCATAGTGATCAATCTGGATTTATAACTGGAAGATATATGAAATATAATGTAAGACAAATTATTAATTTAATTGAATATTTGGATAAGAATAATCAAATTCCTGCTGCCTTTATATTTTTGGATGCTGAAAAAGCATTTGACCAATTAGATTGGGGGTTCTTGTTCCGAGTTATAGAGAAAATGAATTTTGGGGGAAAATTTTTGTCCGCTCTTAAGGCTATTTATCAACAGCAATCAGCACAGATTATAGTTAATGGGGGGTTAACAGAAGCATTTAAAATTGAAAAAGGAACTAGCCAGGGATGTCCATTATCTCCATTGTTATTTGTATTAACAATGGAGATTTTATTAATTAAAATTCGTGAGTCTTCTATAATAAAGGGAATAAAGGTTAATAAGAATGATTATAGGTTAAGAGCTTTTGCTGATGATTTGGTGTTAACATTAACTCAGCCAATAGATTCGGTAATTGATTTGGTTGAAATTATTGCACAATNAAGACATGGCTCTTTCAGCAAGCGGACCTGACCTAGGGAGGATTTTATACTGGGTTCATTTTTAAGGAATTTGGAAGACACAACTTTAAAATTTGGTTTAATTCGGTTTTACAGGGGGGATTGTATATATGCTTTTGTTTTAAATATGTTGTGCGCCGCCCTGAGTCCCGCTGGGAGAAGGGCGGCATATAAATTAAATTAAATAAATAAATAAATAAATTGCAAAGTCGGCAATTTGGATTGTCAGTGGATTTTTGTATTTTCGCTTTCATGGCATTAGTTTGTAGTGCTTGTTCTTGAGCAGCCAGTATTAAGCCTTCCATTTCTTTCTTGATGGTTCCCATCTTAAGCCATGCCCATGTCAAGTTGTTATCACATTTTCCTTCAATGTTTTTCAAACGCTGTCCATGCAAAGCTTTGGTTTTCCATCTATTTAATCTATCATTCAGCTGTTTTTCTTTATATTCCGCCTTTGTTTCTGTTATTTTTATAACGCTCTCTGTTTTCACAGCCTGCAGCAGTTTTTCTGTACTTGGCTGTGAAAACAGAGAGCATTATAAAAATAACATGGAAAAGCTCCTAGTCACTCATTGCTAGCTTAGATCCCATAAATAAATGAAATTTTGGATTTCTGTGACAATTTGCATCAGTTTATACTTGTTTACACTGAACTGTACCTGATGCCTAGAATAATAATTCTTCTTCTTCTTCTTCTTCTTCTTCTTCTTCTTCTTCTTCTTCTTCTTCTTCTTCTTCTTCTTCTTCTTCTTCTTCTTCTTCTTCTTCTTCTTCTTCTTCTTCTTCTTCTTCTTCTTCTTCTTCTTCTTCTTCTTCTTCTTCTTCAACAGCTTTCCTAGAACAAAAAAAAATGTGTTAGAGAAAATGCTACAGTGATGCTTTCTCACACACAAAAGACAAGCTAAACATGAGTGCAAGATGTCAAACCTGAGCTTTCATGTAGCATGGTGCATTATTTAATCTGGTTGGTTTCATAATAGACTTTGCCTATCAAAATTACTTCATACCTAGCAAGTGCAAAAAATAAATAACTGCAAAAAACTCCAGATACCAGAGCCCTAGTGGCGCAGCAGTTAGAATGCAGTATTGCAGGCTGACTCTGCCCGTAGTCTGGAGTTCGATCCTGACTAGCTCAAGGTTGATTCAGTCTTCCATCCTTCTGAGATTGGTAAAATGAGGATCCAGATTGTTGGGGACAATATGCTAACATTGTAAATCACTTAGGGAGTGCTGCAAAGCACAATGAAGTGGTGTAGACGTCTAAGTGCTATTGCTATTACTATCCAGAACTAATAGCTAAATAAGCATTCAAGGTTGTTATTTTTTTAAAAAACACTATGAAAAAGAAAACAAACATCACATTTATTTATACAAACCAGTTCTTTTTTGTCTCTTCCAGATCCTTTCAAACAGCCTTCCTTTGAAGATCAAGCATTTTTAGAAGCTGTCCAGTTTTTCCGTCAGGAGAAAGGCCATTACGGGATGTCAGAAATGATTATAGGAAATGAAAATCAGGTACTTGCATCATAAAGAGTTTTATGAAAAGTCTTCCATTCTTTTTGAAAGAATTCCATTGTTTATGGAAAGACTTTTATGAAAAGCATGTTCATCTCAACCCTTCTCAGGACAAACCAATTTCTGTGCTTTTGAGGCTAAAAAGAAAATTATTACATTTCATCTCTTTCCAGATTCTTAGCAACCTTGTGATGGAGGAACTCCTATCTAGCCTTCAGAGCATGGTGCTCCCTAAAATGAAAGGGAAGAGAAATGACCGAAAGCGGGCATGGTTTGGCGTAAGTACTACATTATATTTTCTGATCAGGAAGTTCTTTTTTTAAAAAAGCAAAAAAACCCATAAGTTAATAACAACCACTTCTGTTTAGGAAAGCCACCTGGATGTGTGTATGAAGTCAACAAGTCTTGACCTGAAACAAAAGGAGACTATTGTCCACATGTTTCTGAAAAGTAGAATATTTCAGAGATTGCTGTTACCTTTGTTTTTTTTTAAAAAATGCTAAGTTTCAAATTTAAGCAATTTATTTATAAATGTAATTAGCTAAAAGCATTGAAACCATCATTCCTCTAAGATGTTTCTTGCTATCAAATGGCAAAACTCACAAAATATTTCTGAACCATTTGTTCTTTCTTTAATCTGGAACTTAGTATCTTTCAAGAGATGTTGCAGCTGGAAGTACTGTAGCCACCAAGAGACAAAGATTACAGGTAGTCCTCAACTTACAGCAGTTCATTTAGTGACTTTCAAAGTTACAGCAGCCCTGAAAAAAGTGACTTATGAGTGTTTTTCGAACTCACAACCATTGCAGCCTCTCCATGGTCACGTGATCAAAATTAAGATGCTTGGCAACTGACTCCTATTTATGATGGTTGCAGTGTCCTAAGGTCATTGCGTTGATTTCCTTTTGCGACCTTCTAATAAGCAAATGGGGAAGTCAGATTCACTTAACAACTGTGTTACTAACTGAACAACTGCAGTGATCCACCTAACAACTGTGGCAAGAAAGGTCATAAAATGGGGCAAAGTTCACTTAACCAGTATCTCGCTTAGCAACGGAAATGTGGGGTTCAGTTATGATCGTAAGTTGAAAACTACCTGTATGAACAATATTTGTGACTCTACTTAGGTAAAAATTATATTTTAATTACAAGAGCATTCATTAACTTCACGGTTAACTCATGAAGCTGGTTTGGAGCTGGTTGGCATGGCTGGCAAATAATTTCATTCATGCTTTTTGTCATAGATTCTAGAAGAAACATACCATTTGGTACATGATCAGGTGTCAGATGGTTTACGTGCTCTGAAAGAAGAATGCAAAGAGGTCACCCTAGGACTAGAGGGAACTATCCGTTCAAATACAGACCAGATTGTGACTTCGAAAGACTTTCTGGCTGCAAAAATAAAAGGTAAGTTGAACGTCACACAGTCAGTGTGTTTATATTTTTCCTTTTAAATCTAATAATTACAGTATCAGTTAACAATCCTAATTTGCATATAGCTAAAAGATTTTTTTTTATGTTTGCCCCTTTTGAGGATGTCTACATTTATATAGCATGGGCTTAAGCTTATTTCATAATACGTTCACATTGCATGTTGTTTCTTTTGAGATGGAAAGAACAATTGGAAATTCCTGTTTAAGTGGATGCCACAAATTTATGATTAATATTGTAGATGATCTAATTCTGTTTCATTAAAAAGCAATAAAAACTATAAACAATAGTTTTTTGAAGATGATCGATAGCACTTCCAGCTTCGGTATGCAGTTCTTGCCACATTTATCAGGACTAGCCTGCAAATTATTCTGTATCAGGAATGTGTTGAAGTGACCACTGCATTCAGCTTTCTAGAGAAAATACCTTGTATTTTCTTAATTCTGAAATGTAGTTGCATAGTAGGGCAGCATCATTGCATTAGCTATATTTAAGCTGGTGGTTTTATACTGTACTTGTATTCTCTAATAGTGAAATAGCCCCATTATTATGTTTCTCAATTAAATGGTGCACTATTCAAGTATGTAAAATGCACCATCTTATAAAGTTTGCTTTTCTACAATATGATATCCATATGCATACATAAGTAGTCCCAGTCTTGCAATCCAACTGATGATAGGTGTTGGTTATGTTCTTTTTGACAATAAAAATTGTGTGTGACCTCGTTCTTACAGTTCCCTTACCTATTTCCTTTTTGGGCAATATGAAAACTATTGAACTATCTTTGAACTATAATTCATCACATGGCCCAGAATGTCATTTGCTTTCATAACAAGTTTGATATGTGTGATTTTGGGGATTGATTCAGGCTTTTAAACCTTGCAAAAGCTTAATGGAAATTGAATTGACCCAACCGCAGATAATAGCAGCAATCTAAAAATCAATTTTCCAAGTTCTATGCCCAGTAAAAAGAAGTTAATGAGTTGTATTTATTTGATTTAATCACATATTTGCAAACAGGCTTTTCAAAAGTTTACATACTACTGTACTGTATTACTCTAATGTTGAAAACCAGCAGGGAAGTCAGAAATGGTGATCACATGACCACGGGATATTGTGACCATTATAAATGTGTGCTGGTTGCCAAGCGCCTCAATGACTGCAGGGATGCTAAAAGTTTGAAGACTGGTTTTAAATCTACTTTTTCAGTGCTGCTATAAATTCAAATGTTTGCTGAATGAGCAATCAGTAAGGGAGAACTACTAGTAAATTATATAAAATGGCATTTTTTCTTTAAAGTCTTCTATTTGTCTTTAGAGACTCCTTCTTAGAGTTCAACTCAGGTTTATCTTAAATCTTCAGGGAGCATAGCGGAACCTATCCAGATCTGCTGCAGTGAAAGTATTCAGCCCTTTTTAGCTTCTGTACTAGAGGAACTCATGGGACCAGTGAGCTCTGGATTCACCGAGGTCTGTCTGCTGTTTGAAAAGGAAGTCAACGCAATCAGTCAAACCTTTCAAGCAACAAATGATGTTGCAACACTAAATGAGGTAAGGAAGCCATGATGCTAAATTGTTTGCCTTCTGTATGGATAGGAGTCACTTGGGGTCATCAGCCTTCAGTTTCTTCTCTGAGGCATTATAGATTTATTTTGGTCAAAGGTTTCCAAGTCTGACTGAGATCCCATACTCTTGCTTTGGGCAAATAATTATCTCTTAGTTTCCATCTGTACATTAAAAATAAGAAGAATTTGTCTCACCCGAAATGTATAGAGCAGGATTATAAAAGTTGGTAAACTACATTCCATAATCTGGATTTATCATATTTTTGTTTATTGTTAGACAATCAAATTCCTCTGAAAATCTCAGAAACAACATGTTGGAAAGGAAAAAAAAATATTGTACAAAACAGCCTACAAAAAATCGACCTTAGCAACCATGTAACATGAGGATCCAATTCAGGAATTGCCTTCTTTCCTTTCCCTTTCCTTCCATTATAGGTTAATCATTCCTCTTTACTGAGGAATGCCAGCAGAACTCCAGAAATCTTTCTCATTTACCATATGACACCAAGGACTGCTATATAAACCTTCTGATTTTTGAATGGATAGTATATGTACCATTACTGGAAAATTACTTCCTTCCCAATCTGTGTTTCTGACAGAATGTGAATCACCTGATGAACCTGCCACACAACTCTGTCAAAATGGAGCCTTGCTATCTAAAAGTCAATTTTCTTCAAGAGCAACTCCAGGACCTCAAGACCCGCTTCAAATTCCACAACGTTGACTTGGTTATCCAGAGGACACATAATGTAATGCAGGAGGTATGATAGGATTCATGTATACTTTGACCATCAGCAATAATGCAGGCTGATCTGAGGAGTTTAATACAGGTTTGGATTACTTACCAACCAATACTTGGCCATCCATTTCTTAATTTCTAAGGATTTGGATTCCCAAATGCAAGCTAGAATTCCATTTAGAGATATAACCAAGACCCCTTGAATCAAATCTCTGAATCACATAGTCATGAATCACATAGTCACAAAGTCCCATCTGGCAAGATTCTGATGATATAAACCATAAATGGTTTGTGGATTATGTTAAGTCACAATTTCTTGAACATATTTTAAAAGCTCTATTACCTCAGTTCATATAATGTATTAACATAAAAAACCTCTGCATTTTGACTTCATGTACAAACCAATTCATGGAATAATTCATAAAGACAAAGATATTTGGAATAAGAGGAAAAAACATTGCCAACATGCCTTGTAAATAAATATTTCTGTCTACAAATAAAATAAACTACATGTTGACAAAGAGACAGATCTGAGAGGCAGATGGATCTCTGCAAGAAAATAAATAAGGCAACTATTTTTTATCTGTTTTTAGATTCTGGAAAATGCAGTATATACATTTGAGCAGCTATTGGGTTTAAAACACTCCAAAGACATAACCAAAATGGCAACACCTATTGAAAAAGTCAAACTTCGTGTTCTTAAGGTAAAGTATTTATTTCTTTTGCTTGTTCTCAAAGTAGGAACATTGGGTTATAATGTTCATTATACAATCCAAATGCCAAAGAAGGTATTTTCTCTGTATTACTATTAATGAAAAGTACTGATAATTATTTGACTTGTCTAGATGCAAAATATCATATATTTTTAATAGTATGTCTTTAATCTGTGTTGTGTTAATAGAGATAACAGTGATCATGATAATATATTAAAAACACAGTAAAGATGTGTTTGAGTAGTGCTGCTTTTGCGGGAAAATAAATTTAATGGTGCATCTAAAGAGGGAAGATGTTGAAAATTGAAATTTGGAAATAGAGAGAGATAAAAAGTAAAACAGCTAACATTTTGAAATAATTAAGGACTTACTAAAGGAAAGGAAAATTTGGGATTGTTCTTGGTAGGCAAAATATGCATTACATCCTATTTAAATGTATTTCTTTATGGAGCCTGAGTTGCATTAGCTGCATATCTGAAGTTGGCCTTCTGAATAATTAGAAGTCTGACATCTAATTCAATTCTGAATGAATAGCATCATATATATTTGTGCAACATGGGCCTAAGGTCACTTTTACCAAAAAAAATGAGAGAGAATTGACCATAAAGTGAATAGCAGATGTAGAAAGTGTATATATGTATGCTTTTGAATTTGCATCCTATGCTACATTATGGAAGGTCAGGTGACTATTTTTCCAATTTCCCTTCATATCTGTTGATAAGATTAAATCCTCTCCAGAGTGTCCTGGTAGAGATTGGGTCAAATTTTGGATATGGATTTCAGAGCAAACCAAGTAGACATGCATGTTCTAAATAGGAACTTGCTTTTTAGAAAGCCACTGTATAAAATAAAAAGGTAAAGTCTTGTTGGAATCAAACTCGATTCTTGGAGGCCTGATGGACAGATCCATGTAATGTTCTTGGCAATAATACAGAAATAGTTTCCCATTGCTTTTTTTGCATTTTTTAAAACTTCCCAATCTATAATTCTGATATTTCCTAATGCAGTGGCTCCCAACCTTTTCTATATCCCGCGCCCCTAGAACGCTTCTGATATATTCTCGCACCCCTTACAAAAGTTTGAAATAATGGCAACGAATTATGCATATGCACTATAAATTATGAAAACCCAAGTTTTTGCACCTCCTGGAATATCGTCTCGCACCCCTAGGGGGTGCGAGCACCCCCGGTTGGAAATCCCTGACCTAATGGTTTCCCACCGAAGTATTTAGCCATTTCCACCCTTGTTCAGTTTTTCAAGATCGGTCAAACCTGAACCGATGTGGAGATAAAGAGGATGGATTTGAAGAAGAAATGGGGAAAATGTTACAAAAGAGAGAAAGTGGGAAAACAAAGATTAAGTCTGGGATTTGTAGAAACCTTTCAGAGACTTCCCTAAATTATACAGTTATAAAAGAAACAATAGAGGGAACACAATCAGATTTGCAGTTTTATTTTACTATAGCCAATCTAAGTAAAAGTAACTGTGAATCTTCCACTGAATCTGGTCTCCCTTGTAGGGCTGACAGTTCCCCAACCTGATATATTTAGATGTGCTGGGGATTCTGGGAACTGTAACCCAGACACCCATAGAGGCATATTTTAGAAGGATGACATTAAAGGCATGTGTGTATTTCATCGTTGATACAACGCCATATACCTAGTTGGATCTAATATTGAGAATAAATGAATGAATAAATGAACAAATAAACACACTAAGAATAAATAAGTTTATTCCAAGTTTGCTACAGTGAAGTGGCTTCCTATCTTCTTAAGATCTTTATAACCTTTTTCTTTCTTTTTCTTTCTTTACTTCTTATTTTTCTTTATGTTTCTTATTTTCAAATTACAGTACTGTTTTTACTCTGTTGAAAACTTCCTTAATAATATATATATAAGATAACTTCAAGTTTGCCTCTGATCCTACAGATAAATATGAAAGAATAGAGATAGTTATTGGTTTTATAATTTTAGTGGATGTATGTTAGTCGGGAGAGGAAGATGAGAAGTAGGTATTTGGCTTTCTAAAATCTCATACCTGATTCTTCTTTTTACATAAAATTGATAGCAATATGATTATGACAGCAGTACTATCCGGAAGAGGATATTTCAGGAAATCTTGGTCCAGATCACTCTGCCCACACTGCAGCGGACATTGGCTTCAACTTGTAAACCGGTAGGTTAATATACTGGCATATATGACTCAAAAGGAGAATAAGATTCACAAATCAAAACTAAAATGCTAATAATGTCAGCAGACAATGGTTCTTTAGTTTTAAAGTCTGTGGAAATGGAGTGATAGAGACAAGGCAGCAACAATGGGTTGGAATAGATCTTAATTATTCTTAGGGCCAATCCATTGAAATCTGTAGGATTTATGGTTAACTTTAATCCTATTGATTTTCACTGATCTAGATTACATATGACAAGTTTTTCTTAAACCTATTTCTCTTCCTAAAACTCCAAGGTTGTTGAAAATAGTTAGTTTTTTCTTTCTTTGAAAGCCAAAGGAATACAATGGGTGCAGGATATTTCCTTATGTTATTTCCTTATGTTAGAACAAATCATAAAATATAAGGATTGAAGAGGACTTTAGAGAGGATCTGTATTCTTCTGAAATATTAAAAGATAATTAAAAGTTATTTTGGGCAAAATGATAAGATGTTGCGAAGGATCCCTTGCATATCATACCTACAAAAATGAATTAGAAGAACTTATATAATCCTGTGTATAATGCATGTGTCACGTTTACTTGAAAAGCTAATTTATGCAGTTATTCATGAATATTAAACGTAGGAGTGAGATATTTTAAAACAAATGGAAAGACATAAACATGTACATAGTATTTGTGGCATCTTCTTTCTCAGAGCTTGAGAAAGAAAAAGGAGAGCAATTTGCAAAAGGCTGCATTTTCTTTTTTTATCAGTTTAGATAATTTTTTTTATCTCGTTTAAAAGTTTTATTATTTTCAACATAGAAAAAAAAACACATCACAAATACATCACAATTGAAACCCCCCCCCACCCCCCACCCGGACTTCCCAAACCTAATCCCAGGATACTATTCAACTAAAAGTAACCTTATATTAATATCCCTAACTCCACAAAATGATAATTTTTTTTATCAATTTAGAAAATTGATAGCTACATTCCTGGTGCATCAAAGAGTGATTAGCAAAAGAATTAAGAATTCTAATAAAGGAAGAATATGCAGGTATTTTGTAGTCATAATATTTTTGCACATCCTATTTCCAGTGTCTGAGGAGCCCACTGTGCTTACTTGTGTCTGTTCCCAATGAAATTCATCTTGTTGCAGAGATAGATTAAGACACCTTCATTCTCAGATATTCTAATAAACCTCATTTGTATCAGACTTTATTGTCTTTTCCGCAAATGTATTTTTTTCTATTTAGCCATTATTACTTTAAATCATATCTTATTCTGTAGATGCTTCAGGAGTATGAACAGTACATCTTTGCTGAATATAACAGTGTGATTCAAGTTGAAAATGTCTACGAAGAGATTCTGTTTCAGACATTGCTTGATGAATCCCTGAAAGGTAACTTTGCTTCTTGTGAGATACATATTAATCTGTCTTGGCAAGTACAAAAATGGGCTGATTGACTCAAGGAGATGGCAGTTTTACCTTGATCTTTTTCATTCAGCAACCTTTGGATTCTTCCAATTAGCCAATAGGTTTAAAACAGGGTTGAAAAATCAAAATATATTATCTATACCTGGCTCACTGGGCATTGTCAGAGGTGAAGACTAATACATCTGGGAGTACAGGATTGAGGAAGTGCTTTATTGATTAAAGAAGAAAAACTTTATGGATGATTTGAGAAGAGACACTTTCCTCCATCTAGTTCTTCCAAGATAGTATTGCCTTGTTCTCAGTATGTTTCTGTGCTCTTATTCTATGGCTTAATATCTTTTCTCTGTTTGTTTGTGTCCATCTCCTGCCTAGTCATAAAAGAAGCAGTCCATCTGAAGAAACATAACCTTTATGAAGAAATAAACCTGCCTTCTGAAAGCGTATCCAGTTTGAGTGATCTAAAAACTCCTGTAGAATCAACACAGGCTAGCCCAGCTAGAGTGCCGGACCCCAATTTGATGGACGAATCAGATGCTGGCCTTGGAAGTAATGAGGTTTTCTTAACAGAAAAACTCCATCAAGAAGAGGAATGTGATGAGACAAAAGAAGAGGGGACAATAATGTCAGATCTCGGTGGCAGTGAATCTTGTCCAAAAATACTTACTATTGTACAGGGAGCCCTTCCAATCACAAATGTCAGTGAAATCACAATAAAACAAAACAAAGGAACAGCAGAAGCGGAAGAACATCCAGTTCACAATGGTGTGAATGAAATTAGAAATTTGTTGACCTTGACTGTTGAACTGAAAGAATATGAACAGTCTGCGAACAAAGAACAAGATTTACAGGAGTGTGGAATGTCAAGCCCAAAGGAAGAAGCAGAAGAAAAGAGTAAAGAGGACTATCAGACAGGTGATCTGCAGAAGCCCCTTTTCCCCACTGTAAAAGCAGATGATACAAATATTGTAAGTAGATCTGGGGAAACAAGCACCATAATTCATCAGGATGCTTCTCAGAAGTCTGAAGAACAGAGTCCCAGTGATATCTCAAGGGAAGAGTTAAACATAGAGCCAAACACAGTGCATTCAAATGAAAAGAATGATGGTATCTATGACCAGTCTCAAACAGAGCCATCTCCTGAAAGCAGACAATCTGACCAGAATAAAATAGGCCCTTCACCTGACAACGTTGTGTCTGAAGAACAGAAGTCACAAACAGAGCAGGCTGAAGGTGAACAACCTGACCAGATAAGAGAAGGATATTCTTCTTTCCATTCGTTTCCAAAGGAAGATGATTCCCAAATGGGACAATGTATTAAAGCAGATTCTCAGGAAGCAGAATTGTCCCTTCTGCAATCTGTCCCGAGGGAAGCAGAGATATCATCCTTGAGCTGTTCTGTTGAAACTCAAGAAAGCATGTTGAATACAGAATCTGTAAGCACCGAATCACCCTCTCTGCTAGTTTCCTTAGAAGTAGTAGAAACTGAGGCTAGCAATGTGGTGAGCATGGACTCCGAAAATGTCACTTTTGATCAAGGGGGTGATTTTGAACAAGCAGGTGAGTCCTCGGTGGACACGGATGCGGCAGATATTTAAAGTGATGAAAGCTGAGAAAATACTGAGGGCGACTGTTCTGATTCACCATTTACAAAATAGAATTTTCTAAACTTAAAGTCTGAGCCCAAGTTATGATTACTCTCCTTAAAACTAGAATGGAGAGATTTATTCAAATTCACACCCTACTTGAGAGCCATCTTTTCATCTGAACCTGTGGCTTTCTGAAAATCTGTATTGTTTGAATAATACTCTTCTGCCAATTGCTGCTTCTTGTCATTTACTCATTTAGAAGTGAATCATGAAAGAATCATCACTCAAGTGGTGAAGAATTTTGCAAACTGCTAGTTGTAACTTGACAGAATGTTTAGCCTTTCCTATTTTTTGAAAGCACAGTTCAGTGGAAATATTGATTGCCCCTGTTGACAATGAACCGTCTATTTGTGGATGAGATTTCAGTGACTCTCAGTAGAATTTGGAAGGAAGTGCTAAAATCAGGCGTTGCAAGAGAGAGAAAAACATTGTGTGATATATAGTAAAGAAAAAAGGAAAGCAAATCATCAACAGAAGTAATAGTAAAAATTTCCTTACTGGAATCTTATGGAACACAATTGTACATAGTGTTTTAAATTTTCATAGGTATATTGTTGCTTTTGTACTTAAAAGCTTTGGCAGATACTTTGAGAATGGAGAGAGCTAATTCCTCTTCTTTATCATTGTTATGGTTGTTATATTTAAAATTTACCAGAATAATTGGAACCGATTTTGCTATCCTTTTTTTCTATAACCTTCTGTGGAGCACTTTATACCTGCTTTTTTCAAAGGGAACAACAAATGTTTATAGTAAAAAACAAAAGGGCTTCATATATTCAGTGATTATTCCAGAGTAGGACAGGGCATTTATGACTCTGCTCCTCTGACTCTCGACTTCAAAAGAGCCTTCTAAGGGCTAAGGTTAGCTTCTAAGGCTAACTTTTGTTCACCTGATTAGAATGATTTTTTTTTCCTGATCTCCTGTCCTAGAACAGGAGAAAGGGAAATCCATTGCAGTAAGTCTGGTTGAACTGCTAGCTAGCAGATGGCCACAAAGTATTTTAAAACTGATAGCAAGGGCAGGTGCTGCAAATGTAGTCAATCTAAATAACTAATCACGTATTGTAAAACAATTTTAAAAGTTTGTAATTAGATGCATTAGCAGATTCCAGAGCAGCTACAGATATTATTAGCCACAAAACAATAAATTGCCACTGGCACAATTTGGCACTCATTTTGGGCAGGAAGAGAACTCTCTAGCTCAGGGGTCTCAAACTGCCGGCCACAGGCCAGACGCGTTACCAGGAAACCATGCCCACCCCATTGCCGCCAATGGGAAAAAAGCTCCGATATGTCGCGCGACGTCACTTGATAGAGCAGAGAATGGCGGCTATACTTTTGGCTGCTTGAAAATTTTAATTTACTAACTCATTGCTCATCTTCCATCATCCTGGTTTTTTTAACTGCTATTCACAACCCCCAGAACTAAAATATTTTTAGATTATAATCCTTTGAACTCTGAACTGTATAAATACCCTTTAAATGCATAGGCTGTCAAATTATTTTGATGATAAGCCATCATTCTACTATTTCATTTCAGTGCGTGAAATAAAAAAAGAAGACATTAAATAAATTTGCATTGCCTCATAATTACAGATCTCTTTTTTAACATGTTGGAATAGTTGATAGCATGCTTTGACAATTATGCGTTTAGCATTCTATAGCCCATACTTAGGATTTGATCTGTACAACAATAGAATTTCACTGGGGGGGGGGCTGAATGATGGCAGATTAGCAAAATAATAGAAACAATTAGTCACCAATTAGTTCCACACTTGTCAGCACTTCTCACTCCCAACTGATTTGTCATTATTTGACAAAGAAGCAAAGAGGGCAGATTTACCCCTAAAGTCTCTAGTTGCTAATCTTTGTCATAGTTATATTACAATGTGAATTAATTTGAGATTTTAAATATTTAATTCCGGCTATTATTGTTGCTTCAGAAATAATGTCTATCAAGCATCAGGAACATTCATAGTAACAGTCACTGCTTTAAAATGGGGAAGAGGGACAACCAGGCAATCAAAACCCTGCCCTTTTCTACATGTGTGCAGTGCATGCAGCAGATATGAAAACAGGGCAAGGTTTTCATTGGCTGATTGCACTTGCCATTTTCTAAGTAAGCGACTGTCCCTAGAGACACCCTCTCAGGTACTGTATTGTCTTTTTAATTCTCACAATATAAGTTAAAAAAATTAAAAGGTACTATGCAGCAAAATATTCTAGCTGAATTGTTATCTCTACACGAAACCAGTTATGTCCTGTTTCTTTGCAATACAATATATATAGTGACAGTTATTCCAGTGTTTTAGTATTTGTGCTTGAATAGGAAACACATCCTCACATCTAGATATTCAAGTCCTTTTTGATGTTTATTTTTAAAAAGGATCCTTAGACGGAATATATTCCTATGTTGGAAATAAACATTTAATCAAAACATTAGGATAAGGACCCTAGTAAATGCAAGCATAATAATAATAATAATCAGACATTATAGGACTTATTGTCCAAAATGTTTGTACTGCCTAACAACATGTGAAGATTCTATATAGATATAGATTCTATATCTATATTAACCATGCATGCCAAAACACAGTTTGGAAGAAATACTTCAGAGCTTGTGCGAGTAGAAATACAGTTCTTCTCTGCTTCCACTTAAAACTTTCATATCTTCTTTCAGATTTCTGAAAATCTGAAAAAGACACCACTGCTTTAAGAGTCATGTAAGTTGACTCATTAAAGCGGCTGCATCTTTTTTTAGGCTCACCTATGAGCTTGAAAAAAGAAATGGTGGCAGTAATTAATAGTAGAGGTACTACGAACATTCCTTCTGAATTGTTTTTAAAGTTTGCATAGCTCTAGCCTGTATATAATAAACCAGTACTTAGCATCCTGAGATTTCAGAAAAGGCTCTTCCGCTATTAATTGCTGCCACCGTTCCTTTTTCAAAGTCATTGGTGAGCCTAAAAAAGGATGCAACTATTTTAATGAGTCAACTTACATGACTCTTAAAGCAGTGGTGAATATCATTTCAGAAGTAGAACGTCTTTATGATGTTATAAGAAACTTGGCATTGATACTGAAAATAATAATCTATGTTGTGTTCCTATTCTCACAATATGCTTTCATAATCTGTTTCCTAACTTCCATTCTGTAGTATTTGATGTGGAAGCAAGTCTTTGCTTATTGAATATAACGTTAGATCTTAAGAAAGATGTGTTGGATGCTAGGGCTGTGTATATTTAAAAAATGATTTGGTACAAGTGTAATGAAGCATGCACAGGCATAATAACTCTTTCAAGCAGTCAATTATTTTTCAGGCTTCTATAGGAGAGTGAAAAATATTTTTTTAAAGCAATGCTGTACAGCATTGTACAATATTTTTTTAAAGCAATGCTCTCCTATCTAGCACAATATCTTCTCTGCATTATTTTCAAAGCATGCACAGTTCTATTAGATTTCATAAAGAGAAATAAAATTAATGCAAATCTACCATTTTCATTCAAAAATTGAATATCCGCTTATGATTCATAATACATACTTGTTTCCTCAAATAAGGGATCTAAATATTTACTTTTAATTGAATCTGAATTATTTTTATTTAGTAACATGTCCAATTGCTTGCAGCTGAGCCTTAAGAGAATATATTTAGGATTGTAGTCTTAAAATAACCAAATTCTTTTTTTTCTCATTTTGAAGATTTGTGTATTTAATAGGAAATAATATTTCAGAAAGTTTCTTCTTGACTTTTTAAAATCTGATATACTCTAATTTCATATGTGGATGATTTCTTTCCTATGCACAGAATATTCCAGATATCATTTAACATTCTTTATGTGTAGATATTTCATTTGAATAATCAACTTGAGTAAAAGAAACTACAAAACGCAATGTAATGTGGTTAACTTTTCTCAACTGCATGTTTCCAAATAAAATATTAATCTCTCACATTGTGCATTTCTTCAAAAGAGATTTGGTACTTATTGGTGGGGCTGTTTGCTAGGTATTTACAAAATCCTAGTGAATATCACATTTGCTTATTACAGTGGCAACCTATTGCATAAGGACAAATGTACAGATTGTAAATACAAACATCTAATTTTGAGATAATGAATATAGTGCAGAACGGAAGCTATGAAAGTAATTTAGGAAATATATTCCATGTACAAATTTAGTCTTTTAGCTTTCAAACTGGATAAAAGTTGAGAGATTCCTATTTATTCAGAAATCTCTTTAGGTTATTAAAAAATAATAATGACTAGAATGGATGCTGGCTAGTAACATGAGAGGAGGGCGTAAACCCATGCTTCCTAACATTACAACAACACACCTGCCTGATGTGATTATCTGATTTAGCTTCAAGATAATGGCTGATGAAGCCTAAAAGAACTTGTATCAACTCTGTCCTGGATGATGTTATCATATTGTGGCGGGGAAGGGCAATGGACTTTATACCAGCGTTGCTAAAGGTAGCTAAAGGCTGTCTCCTTTCTGAATTGGTGAGGTAAAAAAAAACATGGGAACAAAGCAAAAGAAAAAATGATTAGCTTCATTGGGCCATGCCAAGAAATATGTAGAGAGGGGGACTGTATTACTTTTTAAATCTTTTGACAATCTAATATTTGAATTGATCCTTCTGTACTTTTTCAATCAGTGTTCTTTACTCAGAGAAGTAAACATATTTTTCAGGATTTGCAATTCACACATCTAATCAACTCTTAAGGTGATGTATGAATTGGCCAGTTTTCACACTTTCTACAGCATGTTGTTGCAAAAGTATGTTGAACACTGCTGTAATAAACTAATAATTAGGTTAAATATAAGATTTATTCCTCACATCAAACACTACATTGGTGTGTCAGAGGCAGCACCGAGCTTTTAAGCAGGATTACCTTTCCAATTTTGATCAGAGTACCTGAGATTTAGTTCTTTATACTGTGTCTGTGTTCCAATAACATCTGTATGCAAGTGAAAATAATTTCTCTAACTTCACAAGTGATGTTGAACTTGATAAATATATTTTCTTTTTAAAATCTAAAAAAGAAATCTCTGAACATAGCTTCTTGCTTTGCCAATAGTTCCTTTGTCTCTCCAAAGCCTGGATAACCCTAAAGAGAATCAAGCCCAGGTGATCTTGGAGATAAATCTGAGGAAATGACTATTACTTTGTTTTTTTTCCCATTCCCTTTCCTCACCCCCCACCTCAAAACAGCAATAGCACTTAGACTTATATACCACTTCATAGTGCTTTACAGTTTACAGAATCAGCAAATCGCCCTCAACAATCTGGATCCTCATTTTACCGACCTTGAAAGGATGGAAGGCTGAGTCAACCTTGAACTAGTCAGGATCGAACTGCTGGCAGTTGGCAGAAATAACCTGCAATACTCCATTCTAACCACTGTACCACCATGGGTCTAAAGCCACCAGTCAAAGTCAATTTTCCTTTAGTTGTGTAAGACTTTTCAGCTCAGAATCCAAATAAATCCCAAAGAGACTGAACACGAGGCTACTGCAAAAGAAAGCTTTATTCTTTGATCAAAGGCAAAGCTGGGTGCTGTGTCCCTGACACAGCGGACAGAGGAGAAAAGGCACACACACACTAATTAAAAAGTTTTTCCCTTTTATAGCTAATGTACTTTCTCACGCTAATAGTCCTTGCGCAGCCAAAGATTTCGTTTTCGTCCGAATACGCATTTCTTATCAAGTTAAGCACAGTTTGTTACAGCACTACGTTCCGAATACACAATTGCTGGCATACAGCCTCCCGGCTTTTTCTCCTTGAGCAGTACTTTTAAAGTTACAGCTCAACTTGGTCAGCACAATTTTAAGTTACATCAAAGCGAGGTACAGAAAGCAAGCAGGAAAGAATGAACAATAGCTGGGCTATTCATAAAAGATTATATATTCTGATCCCTTCAATTGCATTTGTTGCATTTCCAGATAGCTGGCATGGTGACGATGATAACCTTGCCTTTAACTGGAGGATGAGACTTAGATTAGATACATTATGCAAGTGGTTTGCTGGTTTTCCAGGGTTAATCCTCAAAATTAGAAATAGTGCTTGGTTCCCGAACAGGTCTGTTTGGTCCAAAACACCACAAGAAACAGGACACATACATAACATAGATAAAAATCTAAATTAGATTTCATTTCCATTTAATTAAAAATTACCTAACAAGAGTATTCCGTCATATATTTGAGGTTTTTTAAATTACAATGAAAGCGATAAGAAAATATTTGGAGTTTTTTAGAGACTGTGCCTAAAGCGTTTGTTTATTCCCAAGTTCCCATGGTCCTATTTTACAATGGAAATTGCTACTGTAATGTTGCACACTTCATGCTCAAACTGAAGATTCTTACATCATGCTTTTGGCTAAAAGTTGCGTTTATACTAGAATCCTGGCAATTTCAGAAACACAAATTTCCTTCTTGCAGAAGACTGACAGAACTTGAATTACAATTATTTAATGTGATTAAACTTTGGTTATAAGAAAGTAGATAATACAACAGTTTGTTTCTATGACCTGTAATCTCTATGGGTATACATTTAATTTTTTTCAGAACATGATTCCTTTTTTCTAGATATATATCATCGTCATCATTTTAGCCATTGTCTATCCACTGCAGGATAGTTTCCAACCTATATGATCCTGAGCTTTTTTTTTGCCAATTGGCCCACAGTATTTCCTGATGTCATCGATCCATTTTGTTTTAGGTCTCTTTCGTGGACGCTTTTTATCAATGGATCCATTCTGTGACTGCCTTGGTCATAGATGCATGGAAAAATGCATGCTCAGCATTACAAGACAAGATAGAAAGACCTGCACATGGCTTACAGAACAAACAAAAGTATACGATATCATCAAAAGTGAAAGAACTGAAATGGAAATGGGCTGCTCACATATAAGAAAAACTAATGGCAGGTGGAGGGAGGGAGGGAGGGAGAGAGAGAGAGAGAGAGACTATCATTTGTCACCAACAAACCAACTGTTTTATATCCATAATTTCCAACATCCTGCTATTACTGTAGAAGATTATTTTTGTGGAGGAGGGGACATTTGAAAAACTGTAGAGCACTACTGTAGAACAGTACTGTACTTGATAATTCATGCTACAGAAACTACAATTCCCAACATTCCTTTAAAGCACTGCATTGTGGGCTTTGACAGGCAAGTGTCAATTTCTGCATTGTGTGTGTGTGTGTGTATACACATATCGATAGATAATAAATAGATGATGGATGGATGGATGGATGGATGGATAGATAGATATAGACAGACAGACACTTTTTCTGAATGGTGATAAGAAACTGCCAAAAAAATAAGAACAATAGCAATGTTGTGACTAAGTATAAAGTATCTTGCTCTCATCCATCCAAACCCAGGAATTCACATAGTCATTTGAACCGATGGGGTTGATAGAAATGTCTATCAACTCCTATCAACTCCCTCTTCTATCCACTCTAATTGTAAGCCTGCAGCTTTCAATATGAGCCAGTTTGGTCTAGTGGTTAAGGCACTAGAAAGAAAGAACGGGTTCATGCCTTAGCCATGAAAGACAGCTGGGTGACTTGCGCCAATCACTCTCAGCCCAACCCACCTCTCAGGGTTGTTGTTCTGGGGGAAATAGGAGGAGGAAGTTGTGTTGGATATGTTTGCTGCTTTGGGTTATTTGTAAAAATAAAGGTGGGATACAAATAAATAAATATGCGAATTGAGGGACTGCAGCTAAAACCAAAGCTCCAACTCTTTTTAAAAAATTACAAGCAATGTTAAAGATTTATGTGAGAATAGGAAACAACCGTTTTTCCATTGATTTCGGGTGGAAGTCATGCCCGTGGGTCGCAGCAAATGTAACAAAGGTCCTTAGGATACGTTCAATATCACTATCTTGGCATTAGCTTAAGAGATGCTTCTTTATCCGATTGACAGTTCAGCTGCAGATATAAGAGGACCAGGAGAAGAAGAAAAAACCCTGATGGCCCAGACAAAGAAAATGCAGAAAGCGGACAATTCCGTTTGACGCAGGAGTTTTTTTAAGTTTTGTTTTTTTTTAAATTTGGAGGTGTGTCATTATGCCTGGGCAACAACTTCAGCACTATATGATCCTGAAACACGCCGTTCGCAAGATCACTGCCCAGATGTTGTGACGTAGGCGAGTGATTAGAGCGTCCGCTCGGGGAGCTTCTGAAGCCTCAAACGTTACACTCCGAGCTGCGCAAATTCTCCATAATCACATTCGCTTTTCCGAGGCCGAGTAGCGTCCACCGAGCCGTTGTTGTTGCTCCGAGCATCAACGCGAAATCACCGCGAATTCCGACCTCCTTAAGCTTCACTCTTTCCCTGCCTGATCAGGACATAATGAACCCGCCTGATACAACAAACGTTTCCGACGTTTCGGGGCAGGAAGATTCCCCATCACATTCAATATACGGAGAGGTGTGTGTGTGTCGTTCTAAAATCAGTGTTTCTCAACCTTGACAATTGTAAGGCATGTGGACTTCAACTCCCAGAATTCCACAGCCAGCAATGCTGGCTGTGGAATTCTGGGAGTTGAAGTCCACATACCTTAAAATTGTCAAGGTTGAGAAACACTGTTCTAAATTCAACCCTTGGCATCATTTTTTCCAAACAAGGATCGGCCCGAGATGAAGCCGGAAATTACGCATTTCGACGGAGAGAGAGCGGTCGCTAGAGCAACTGCTTATCTTTTGAGAGTGCGACAGCCACGTCCAGGTTAGGAGGTAGCCGCCCGTTTGTTCCACGTATCACTGCATCCGGGAGGGAAGGGGGTGTGTGTGTTAACCCACGGTCAGGTGACGCAAACCTCGGGTCTCATTGGGCCGCGGGTAGCGGCATGTCACGTGACCGGAAGGGAACCCGGAAGCAACCTAGCGGCAAGATTCCGGTTTCCTTGGCTACGCCAGAGAAAGGGAGGGCGTGTGTGTGTGTGTGTGAGAGAGAGAGAAGGCGAGCGAAGGGCTGGTCCCTCGTCTTGTGTGGCGGCCGCGCTGTTTGAAGGGATGGGACAGAGCCGGGCCTAGCGGGGCAGCTGCCGCTATGAGCGGAGCAGCAGCTGGGGGTGAGGGAAGGAGCGGCAAGTGCCTGGCAGGCCGTTGGTCTGGCTGGAAACTGCTGGCTTTAGGCCTCCTCTCCGCTTCTTCGGTGTTGGCAGCAGCGCCGGCTGTGCAGGCTATGGGCCGGGAGGAGAAGCGTCATCTTGGGTAAGAGCCCCTTTTTCCCGTCGCCCGCTTTGTTTTTTTTTTTTCTGTGCCGCAGCTGAGCCTACCTTGGTTGGGTTCAGCCAGCCCACGCTTGGCGAGGATACCGTTGGGTCCGGTTGCGAACCGTGGCTTTGTGAAGCGGAGGGTGAGCATATTGTGTCATGGACCCGAGGAAGGAGTTGATGTTGGACCAGAAGACCTCCAAGGTCCCTTCCAGCTGTATCCCGATTGAAGCCCCGCTCCTTTGCAGGTTGCATTTGGCTGCCCGAGGAGACGGAGCAGTTTCTCTGAAGTCTTCTTTAACCTGACACAACCGAGGGCTGAGTTCAAGCTTGCCCCCGAGGTAGACCGACAAGGGTACCCCAGCTCATGGTTTACTCAGTTTCTAAATGTAAAGCTGGACAATAAATATGGTACTGTGTAGGTTTTCAAAAACTAAGTCGTATTTCGTTAGATTCCCCCCTCCCCCTTCGAAAAATTTCCTCCACCCACCATTATTTTTTGTGAAACTTCCCTGTCTAGAAATGATGCTTGTCATAGCAAGGCAGGGATGTAAGAACTTGGGTTAGGCAAATTGAGAAATGTTAGTCAAAGTGAGTAATAACAGTTCAGAACAAATGCTGTCATTGAGAGAGAATAGAAAGATGGCGGGGGGGGGGGGTTTAAGCTGAAGGATGCAGTTCCTCAAGTTTAAAAAATGCTAGCAGGATCATAAATGCATGGATGTTATTCTAGAAAATGATGTTCATATAATTTAAAGCTCACTTATATAGGTTTACTGAACTTCTCTTATCTCTGTGTCGTTGCTTTTCATAGGTGAGTTGGAACAGTTTTCTTTTTTCATTTTAGTATTTCACATTTTGCTGATCAATTTTTCAGTGATGCATGTTCCATTTGTGTTTATCATATGGCAGTATGATGGTGGTTCTAATATTTCAGTAAGGCATAAGTGTATTTAATACAGAATTTTAAATATATGTGATGTAGCAGATATTGGAAAAGAGCAGTGAATCCCATAGTTGAAAGTAATTTTGGAACTTCTCAGAGAAATGCATTTATTTCTTCGCTGTTGACTTCCTTTGAGGACAGTTGAAGGCCCTGTAAACTGTAATGCTATGTAGACAATATAATTACTTGTAAAGATTGGATATTTCACTGTTAAAGGATCATCTTGTTAGCTGTGTAAACAATGTTTTGTTTTGAAAGACTAGATACTTTAAAATTATAGCAAATAATGAGCTTACTTAAAAGGCAAATCAGATGCTGGTGTTTCATAGAATAAAACAAAAAATATGTACATGTTCCACATGAATGTACATCTGAGGAACCTAACTATAGCACGTATCTTCAGTGTCCATGTCTACTAATAATCAAGGATGCATCCACACATTACATTTATAATATTTCCACATTTCACTTTTTTAAAAACTGTTGTAATATTAATTTAATCTATGGCAGAAAACAAATTCATTTTTTGAGAGCAGCATTAGGAGAACATTAGATTTCTGGAGTCCTCTGGCCTTTATGGAAAATGGAACTTGGATTTATTCTGGGGCTCTAAATTAAGAATTTCCTAATTCATGGCTTGATTGCTTGACTATTAACTGCAGTATTCTAATAAAGTTAATTTTTGATATGAAAATGCATCTGTATTCATTATCAGGTTTTAAATGATATGAAAATGCATCTGATTTCATAAGATTTAAATCAGCGGTTCTCAACCTATGGGTCGCGACCCCATTTGGGGTCGATTGACCATTTCACGGGGGTCGCCAAGCAAGGCTGTCCGCCATTTTTTTCCCCTTTTCCCCTTTTCCGGTGGGTGCCTTACCTCCCTTGGGCTGGGCCAGCTGGTGGTCGGCCTGCTCCGTCTCTGCCGCTTGCCAGCTACGCCTCGGCCGGCACAGGGGGCGGAACCATGCATGTGCGGCGCTCCTGGGCAGGGAAAGTCCTCGACTTACGACCGGTTGGGTAGTCCTCGACTTACGACCGGTTTAGTCCTCGACTTACGACCGGTTTAGTCCTCAACTTATGACTGGTTGGGGGTCGCGGCATTAAAAAGGTTGAGAACCACTGATTTAAATAAACCCATATAGGTTCAGTGAGTCTTATGACAGCCTCAGTGACAACTGTATTCAATTGGCACATTTTTCAAACTTAAAGCAGAGTTAGCAATACACATTTGAATCTGAACTCATGATGTTTTGAAAATGGCCATGTAATTTTCTTGATTGCCCCCTTCCAGGATATTTTTGAGTTCTCAATCTAGTGTCTTCCTTCCGTATCTGACTGTTTTTTTGCTTTTTTGAGAGCAGCTAAAGTGAGCTAAATACTGTCACCTAACTGAGCATTAAAAAAAAATCAGTATTGAATCTTATCTGCTTGGAAAGCTCAATAGATACTGTACATGGATCTTTTTTCTGGAACATCTACATTCATATAATCATTTTGAATTCCTATTAAGTAAAAAAAGCCATTTGTTTTAAAAAATAATTTCATAAAGAATTATTGCTCTTTTGTAATAACAAATGGCTACATAGTTTATGATTGTTAAAATAAATGTTTATAAATTTGAAATAGCGTATAGATTTTGGCTTTATATAAGTGCTCAGTTGTACTGTTTGTTGCGTCTTATTATAATCTTATTATTATAATCTTATAATCAAAATGTTTGGAAAGTCTCTGCAGATTAAAAAAAAGTTGCTAGTAAATCTTTCACTTGAGCAGAATTGAATTATTTTCGTTTTATCTCTTTTTTAGAAATCAAGTACTGGAAATGTTTGATCATGCCTATAGTAATTATATGGTAAGTGCAATGTTTACATTATTTTAACATTAAATAACAATCTGTTTTAAAGCTGTTTTTACATAAACTATATGTGGTGAACTTTTGCTAGTATTTTTAATCATGATTTAATGTAAGGTTGGCCAGCTCATCACCTGCAGATAGTAGCAGGTAAGCAGTGCTCTACTTTCATACTGATACTATGTTTTTTTACTCTGTTTTTTGTTTCTTTCCTTAGTGTATTAATCCTAAGAGAAAGCTTATATATCCTAATATTTTTTCCTCTGTAAACAATAGGGAGAGATCATACTTCCATTCCTTGATAGTTTGACTAACAAAATTCAGTGGCAAGTCTTCAAAAAGGAATTTGGGGTCCACAGATGATTGGCAAACTATTGGCTGCTCATTCTTGTACTAAAATACAATCAAGGGTCATAATTATTGTTTGGTGTAATACGCTGAATCATGCTATCATCGACTGAAAAACAGGTTTGAAGTGGATTGTGTTAATGTATGGTTTGGCCTGATGTATTATTTACAGTGAATTAAACTGCAGTTCTTACTTGTTTAATTATTAGGCTGTTTACGTGTTGAGATCTAATCTATTTAAGACTGACTTTTTTGTCCTAAGTATGAATCCTTTTTCTCAGTCCTTGAATTTGTTGAAATTGAAAAGCATAGTCTATAATATGGGAAGGAGTTGCAGATTATAAGCATGATAAAAACACTCTAGGAACAGGGATTCCAATCCAGTGAAACAATACTACTTAGATCAGCTAGAGCTGTTCAGACTTACTTGCACATTTTTTTAACTCTTTTAAAAAATAAATGATAGATTCTTTATCATGCTAGAAATTCTATAATTGTTTCCTTAAAACAATTCAGATAAAGATACATGTTATTTTATAGAGGTGCTAACTGAATTAAGGTGAACCATATTCATACTTACCAATCTAATAAAAATGCTTAAACTATAATACAATTTAGGTGTAGCTTTTGTATGTAAGATCCAAGTTGGAAACCAAGAAGTGTTTTATTAAAATCCCACTAATCACAGATCTTCAAGTAACTTGGCAAATCCTTCAGCCAATCATATTTAGCTAAGACGAATGATCATTGCATAATTTCATGGCAAAATTTTTTATCAAGAGTTTTAGTGAATATAGATAACATGAATTTCTTGCAGAGAATAACAGTGAAACTATGAATATGATACTAATTTTGGCTGCTAAAATATTCAATTGAGACCCACTGTTTTCTTGGTTTTCAATCTGTTTTATGAATTTCATAGGACAGAATCAGCACATTTATGCCCTACTGTATTTATAAGTATGGTACATGTAACTTCAAATAAAATAAACGTAAAATTGTATATATATTTTGTGTTGGAGAAAATATAAACCTAGGGCATGCTGTCATTCATTTATAATGTATTGTGAAAAGGCTTTTTTATCATTTTGAAGTGATAAAGGATTTCTATACTTGTAGCATGAATTATTTGTATTAAGGAAATATATGACTTGGCACATCCTGGATGCTTTTATGTCAAAAGGATATTTATTTATCATGGGTCCTAGAGCCTTAAGCAAATAGAATTTATGAGTGTATGGAATTTGGCAAACAAGATCAAGGATTTAAACTTTCTTTTTGATGATGACAGTGATTCTATAGATCAACTCTTTCCTCATTTTTCAATCTTGTAAGGTTTCTTTTAGGTTTTTTTTTTGACAATGTAGCAAAATTCTATGCTAGAAATATAGACTTTATTACCATTTGAGGTTACTTGAAAATGTGGTTTTCTATTTTTAAAAAGGGAATGTTCATTAAGTCTTGCTTTATATATCATACATTTCTTCAGTGAAAACTTCCATTTTTTTCACTGAGTTTTGTAAAGAATTAGATAGTGCTCATAGTTACAAATTCTACTCCTTCGGTTTTGATGTTGTTGACTTAGTGGTAAGGAGGGAAGGGTGTTTAGATGGATTTAAAGATACAATCCAGCTGATGACTTGCCCTAAATCCTCTTGCCTATATCCATAAAAGCCTAGTGTGATACTTCTGTTCCAGATAATTAGTTGACAAATCTGCAATCCTACATATTTTGTAAAAGCTTTTTAAGTGACATCTAGTGCAATTTTTTTTATCTTGGGGCTTCTGACATTTCAAAGAAATGTAGAATCCCTGTTATTGTCATTTATGTCCTCTCCATCAGTGTTGCAAATAATAAGTGAGTAAAGGGCAAAGAAATATAAGGATTATCTTTAGAGCTAGTAAAAGAGCAGAACCATCATCTTTATAAATATGAGAATGTGATCATTCAATGTGCCACAAGATGAAATGTGTTTCTTAAAAAGGTTATTGCTAAATTTACTATTTAACAAAGCAAATGGTGATATTAAAAGCTATCTTGTAGAATGATTTTTCAGTATTTTGGAACATGATTTTATTTGTATATGGATGTACATACAGCAACAATGATACAACATGGTTTGTATACATATACAAACACACAAAGATGAAAATCTATCTGCTAGCACTTTTTCTGAAGGCAAAGTTTGAATTTTGGTTTGGAAATGAAATTCTGCCATCCTATTATGGTGTATATTTCTATTAAGAACTAGTGGTGTATAAAATACTTTCATTCTGAAATATATTGAGTTATATACTTTGTTCTGCATTTAAAAGGTTTAAATCCTTACAGAATCCATTTTAGCCATTCTGGAAGTGTTCTGAGCTCAAACTGACCCTATCTCAAGCTCATAATTTCTGTTTCAGATTGAATATTCAATATTCAATATTGAATATTTCTGAAATTGAAATGAAGTGTTTCCAAAATCCTTTAAGTTTTGTACATTTTGCATACCCCTTTTAGGGACATTAGTGAGAATGTAGCACACCATGTTAAGGATCTTGGCTTAGAAAACCTGCTGATCACTACTTGTCAATTATTTTGAATTTAAATACATTCTTATTCCAAATGGATTATTCAGTCTGATTAAGTATTAAGTTTAGATTCTGTGCTTTTCTAAGGATGGAGGCAGAAGGGGCAGTTATCCACCTGTTCAAATTGCAAGGATGTCTTCTCAATTTTTTTAAAATGAAAACAGCGTAAGAGACTTACAGGTATAACTAGTTCTAGATGGCAAAACCATTGTGAATATTTTATTTCCATCCCTGAATTGTATTAATTAATCTCTTTAAAACAATGTGAATCAATTCAAAACAAGTTGCTGACAAAGAATTTTTATTTATGTGCAATAATGGTGTAATGAACCATCAGTTTAGCAACTTGAGGTGTGCTGAATAAGAAACTTTTCAAAGCCAATCCTGCAAATACAAAAATTGGTGCTCCACAATATGTAACCATTTACTTTTTGACTCTTGAAAGTTGAAAAAAGAAATTTGTAGTGTTGAAAGTTTTGAGGGTAGTGAGCTGATTATTTTGTGATGCATCTTATTCTGAAAAATAATTTCTGAACCATGTTGTGCCAGAAAATATTATTCCAGATTGTATACTGACTAAGTAAGGACACAGCCTAAACCATAAAATAAACCAAAAAATCCCCCTTACTTTCTACAGTTCAGAAAACATTGGAGTAATTATGGTTTTGGTCTTGCAATCTGTTTCTTTACTATGGTACTAACTGAATGCATGAATATGTTTCTGTGGGAAAAGTATTACAGGTAGTACTTGATTTATGACCAGTTATTTAACGACTGTTAGAAGTTATGACAGATTTTAATAAACCAACTTACAATTTGCCCTCAAAGTTATGACTGCCACCTCCCCTCCCCTCTGCAGTGATGTTATCGTATTTTGGGCACTTGGCAGCTGGCTCGCATTTAAGACCAGTTGCAGCATTGCATGATCACATAATCATGTTTCCCATTTTTTTTGCCATTTTCCAGGAGAAACCACCCGTTGGATATGGGTGGATTTACTTAACAACCATGGTGACTCCCTTTGTTACTGCTCTAAAAATGGTCATTAAAAAAACTCAAATCCAGTCACATGGTGACTCAGCGTATGATCACAGTGACTTATGACTGCAATTCTGGACTCCATTGTAGTCGTAAGTTGAGAACTACCTGTATTGCAGTTCATGAAAAATATTGATTTAGTCCTATGTAAGAGACTTATGTACCATTTGTAACTTTCTGCATTGTTTAATTTTGTAAAAGCATACTCTCATGAATATATTTTATTACCTGCATTTGTAAGAGTAAACGGTGAAACTTGATCTAACTGCTATTATACCATGCATTTCAGCTTCACTAGATTATTATTCTGTTTTGTTTTTCATTTCCTTTATTTTTTCCCAACAGGAACATGCTTACCCAGCTGATGAGCTCATGCCTTTAACTTGCCGTGGAAGAATTCGGGGTCAAGAACCAAGTCGTGGAGATGTGGATGATGCTTTGGGAAAGTTAGTATTTTGAAGTAATTATTTGAAGATTCAGTATTTAGTTTTAATTGAAAATCTGTGGCTCCATTATTACAAATTCAATAAAACTGAATCTAAATTCTGAATAAATATCCATAAAAAGAACAGTAATATTTACCAAAATGGAGAAAAACAAAAATAATATGTGACTTAGTAATTCAATCATAGATGATGATTATATTTCTTCAAATTATTTTTAGTTTGTGCATTATCTGGAGAATCTTGTAGCAGGTCACGGTGTTTTAATGACATGAAACAGTTAAACTAAGTAAAATAAATATTAATTTAAAATATTACCACAGTTGGGACAGGAACTTCCATCGCAAAATGATACGGTTGTTAAATGATTCTTACCCAATTTTATGATCTTTTTTGCTGTGACTGTTAAGTGAATTTCACTTCTCCCATTGACATTGCTTGTTAGGGAAGGTAGCAAATGATGATCACATGACTCTGTGAATGCTACAACCATTGGAAATAGGTATTGATTGCCATGGCAGACGGCGTAGAACTTTCTCGAGCTGACAAACTGCTGAAGTCATTCAATGTTTTTATGAATTGCCGATGCATATTTTAATATATAGTCTGTTTTCAGAAGTCTTCAAAGGTTCATGAAAGCATTGTATGTCTTAAGCAGTTCACCAACTTGAGGAAGGAGAACACTGTCAACTATTTTTAGTAATAGGCAGCCTGTTACAAGTTCTTACATGAACATTTAATAATAAATTATCTATTGCATCTTAAATCCTATTTTTAATCTCTCCTCCTTTCTCACCCAGGTTTTCACTGACACTGATAGATACTTTGGACACTCTTGTGGTAGGTTTGATTTCTTCTATCGTGTATTAAATCTAAATTCTCATTTTACAATATTGAGTAGAACTTAATAATTGCCCTTAACAAAATACTTGATTTACTTAAATTATGACCTACTTTTAGAAGATGGATTAGTAATATAAGGTAGCATACACAGTGCTCTCTCCTCCCAATTTCCTCACAGCAACAACTCAGTGGAATACATAGGTTGGGCTGAGAGATTGTGATTAATCCCTATTCATCCCATGAGCTTTTGAAAGTGAACTAACACTTGGTTCTCCTGCTTCTAGACTAGCACCTTTACCACTATACCATACTGATCTTTCCTCATTACATACATAATTTTAATTAACTTTTTTGCTATTAGTTTGCTTTTGGGAAACCCAGAAGTATACCTTAAGTGGATTGATAGATTGCTTGCATGTAATGAGATTCCAGATTTCTTCAGTATGCATTGCTCAATTATACCTCCTTCACCTTTTTTTGAGACAGGATAAATTAAACAAACCTGACAACCATTCTTAAGAGTTTGCCTCTGTAATAGGATTTTTAGCTTGTTGCTGACCAAAGATGACAGAATCAGATATTCTTTATTTTTTATTTAAAATGAAACTTCAGGTTTCTCTTTAACAAAACCTAGCTTCTTAAGAGATAGTCAGCTTGTTTACTCTTTGTTTTGCAGGTGTTAAATAAAACTAAAGAGTTTGAAGATGCTGTTAAAAAAGTAATTAGAGATGTTAATTTAGACAACGACATTGTGGTATCAGTGTTTGAAACAAACATAAGAGTGCTTGGGTAAGTTTTATTCTGGGGAAAATAGCATCAGATTTGTAAATCTCCCAGTGATAATCTACGTATGTTTTGTGATCTGAAGTTAAATACACTTACGTTTTTAAGCATAATAGCATTCATAGTTTGTAAAGCTGTTCTTGTTTGAAAACTGCATTCTCTGCATTATTGTCAAAAGGGTTTACCCATCTTCATTTATATACACTTTTTAGAAGTAAATAGTATTTAAACGTTCTACAAACTATTTTCAGTTTTTCAGTACTTGTCTTATGCTTAAGGCTAGTATAAATGTGATTACTAAACATTATTAGAGATTGGAAGCAATTTGGAGAATTACATTCTCTTCTCCTCTGCTTCCCCACTCTTTGGTTCTCTTCTGGTTCAATATTCACTAAGCTAATAAACTTCCTGACTTCTTCCTTTCATTTTATCTAGAGGTCTTTTAGGTGGGCACTCAGTAGCAATCATGCTGAAGGAGAAAGGCGAAGTCATGCAGTGGTACAATGGAGAACTTCTGCACATGGCAAAACAGTTAGGCTACAAACTTTTGCCAGCTTTTAACACCACAAGTGGTCTCCCATATCCAAGAGTAAGTAAACTGAGCTAAGACTAATGTATGTCACGTGTTGTTTGTTCTTCTAGTATGATAAAATTACATGTTGAGTCAGAGAGAGGGAGTTATTAGCGATATCGGTGAAAACATCTGATTTTTATAACTCTTAGAGTCTTAACTTTTCAGCTAATAGCATGGTTTATGAAGATATTTATGTATTTATCAATGGGCTTTACTACATTTTCAAATGGCATGACCTTAAAAAAGCCACATGTTTTAATTATGAAATTGAGGACTGTTCTCTCCATAGTATGTGATATGCTCAGAGACAGCTTCATTTAAAGTTAAAGCACTTCTGACTTTAGCATTGGAATTTAAACCCATATACTAAGTCAGTTTGCATAGGTTTGCTATACACAGAGGTTGTTGAACACTATTTTGTATGGTGCTGCACATTCTCTGCTGTAACGTACTTAATTCTTCCAGTTTTTCGCAATATAGTACAAACTTAATTTCTACTTATTGTTTCTTGTTTGAAAAAACAAATCTATTTTATTTTCCTAAGTTCTTAAGAAATGACATTATCACAGTAACAGATTTTGGCATTTCTTTTTCTTCTAGATTAATTTAAAATTTGGTCTAAGAAGTCCAGAAGCCCGGACAGGAACAGAGACTGAAACTTGTACAGCTTGTGCGGGAACGTTGATCTTAGAGTTTGCTGCTCTAAGTCGTTTCACAGGGGCATCAATATTTGAGGTTTGCTTAATGATAAGTGATTAATTATTTTTGTTTAACTGCTAACTTTTGATGTTTTTATTGTATAATTACTTGATAGTATTAATTTCAGCTGTGTTCTGTTGCTGAACTGGTCACTGAATCTCTCATACCAGAAATTGATTTTCTATTTATATTTTATATTTTGAGGTACTGCTTATCTGTCAGCGTTCTGTCCCAGGACCTGAAGGCTGTGCTGTGTTTGGGAGCACGAGACTCTTTGTGTCATAATGCTGCAATGTTTTATCTTTACATTTTTAAATTGATTTTATTGTAATTTCTTTGATTGTTGTGAGCAACCCAGAGATGTTGAGAGTTGGGCAGTATAATTGTTTAATAAATAAAAATCATTATAAAATATGTCAACATAGAATACCCCGTGTAATAATATAATATTGCATTAAATTTTGTATTACTACAAATATTTAAAAGAGTAACTTAGAACAACATAAGCATACATTTGATATTCCCTCAATAAATTAAGTAGTTCGTTAGGAATTTTATTTGTGTCTGGTGCCTTACCATTGGACGCTTGTAACTATGGACCATGTCTGTTCTATAACTCTTTGGTATCTCTTATGTATAAGGAAAGCATACTGATTTTGTCTTTATATGATTATTATTTTTGAATTGTTCAGTATGTCCTTCAACACAAATCTTTTTGGGATAAGTACTTTCTTTAATTAAACTCGCCTATTTGACATTAATAATTTATAGTCTGTTGTACACTCTACACAGAAAGATTTTGACTGACTAGATTGCATCTCAAGTTCAATTTTGTATAATAGTCAATTTGATTTTGAAGCTGCTTATTTAGTGACATCTAGAATGAAGTCTGCATTTATATTAGGGATTGTCAATAAAGAGTTATTTCCTTAAAACTATTCAATTAATTTCTGTATCATTAATGTATCAGTCCAATTCTCCCTTTAATTACAGATACTCCCATTTCTACAATAATTATATTCTACTCGTCCATTGGAAGTACCTCATCTTTTTTTGAAGTTACATTGCAATTTGCCATAGAGAATATTGCATCAAAATCAATGTATACATAAACCTGCCATTTCGATTTTAATGAGCAACATTATTCAAACTAGTTTTTAGAAACTTTACAGGTAGAAGTGGAGTCAGCAGTTAATCCTTTATTACAAAGTTAAACAAGTTCTGTCCATTTGAAACTTGGCCATGCTGCTTGAGATTGTTGGAAATTGAATTTTAATATATGGTATCCTAAATTACCAAACATCTGTTCCTTGATACAAAGAACAGGGTGGGGTTTTTAAATTAGTGGACTACTTTTGTTTATTAAAAATCATATTTGCATTTTTATGGCATTCATAAGTATTTTTCTAGAATACTTGGTATGTAATATTGTTCCCTGATTTTTTTATTATGTCTAATGAAAAAAGAAAATTATAACAAATGTTTGATTTGTGGGATTTATTTTGACAGACTTTGGATTTGTATTTAATGTACAGTGTTTATTGGATCCGAATTCTTTTCTTTGAATTTCAGGCAATACGAGGCTTTGCCCCAAATGCTGGTTCAAGTCTGAATCAGTCTGAACAGTATTTGTTCCATGCCCTTAAAATAGGCATTTGCTATTATTTTAGTGAGGAGGGTTTTTGATATATCAATATGTTTGGGAGTCTGAAGAATGCCATTTTGTATTTAATAGGCATTTAGCTTTAATAGACACCTCTATCCTTAAGTTGAGATGTCTTACAAAATGATACTAATTCTCCTTCTACCCTCAAAATGGGGAAAAAAGACTTTGGAAATATATCTCATCTACAAAACAGCTGTCTAAATTAGACTAGGTTGTTTTTTTTTAAAGTCCTAATTCAGAAATTCACATGTTTGCCATCTGTTGGTATGAGTCCAGCATAGAGCTATCCTTCCAGTGTTGTATGATAATTCTTATGGAATATTTCCCATGTATAGTTAGATTTCAAATGGCTGGGGCTTACAGCCAAATAGGTAATTTGCATTCTTAGCATCTGTGATCAATCTAAAGTTATATTAATGATCTCTGTGCATCCAGACTGCAGCAATAGTATGATAAGTCGAAACTATATAAGTTATTTCCAATTTTTATGATGCATCTTTGGCAGCCTCGCAGTACATCCAATTTTTTAAAAGCCTTTTCTCTGAGATGTCCAGTATATACAAAATCAAATTTATAGTTGTGTAAATTTAAAAGTAGAACCACTGAATAAATTTATTGCTTGCATCAATTTTCTGACTGCTTCATTGCATGCAAAGCGGTATTTAATTAGAAAATGTTAATTTTATTTTCTATAGGAATATGCCCGGAAGGCACTTGATTTCCTTTGGGAGAAAAGGCAACGTAGCAGCAATTTAGTGGGAGTTACTATTAACATTCATACAGGGGACTGGGTCCGTAAAGGTATGAAGCTATGCTCCCTCCTAATTACAGATAAGAATGAGATTAGAGGTTGGAGGTGTTTTTATGTAGAGGACTTAAACTATATATCAGAAAATTGTGTCTTATTTTGGACTAAAAAAAATATTGCATTATGCTTATTCTCATCCCACAGCCCTTTCTGTTTGAGTCTTGGTTGCACTTAAATGTTTTTATAGTAATAAGAACTTACTTCATGGAACTGAAAACTAGTTATGAAATTAATTGTGTTAACATTTTTATCTTATTCTAGATAGCGGAGTTGGAGCAGGAATAGATTCATATTATGAGTATTTATTAAAGGCCTATGTCTTGCTTGGAGATGACAGTTTTTTAGAAAGATTTAACACCGTAAGTACAGATGGTATTTCTCTCTCCTTGAACTACAGAACCTTGTACTATGCTCCTGATGTATTATGTTAGATATTCTGGATCTGTTCTTCTATAATTAGTGTGTTATTACACTGTCAGAAATAATTGTACGATGTTTCTCACACTCCAGCACAAGTTGTCTTTTTTCGTTGTTCCATTTGGCATAAAATTCATCTATTTCAAAATATTGGTGTAGCTGTAATAAATATAGTCAAATTAATAATAGAACTCATGTTAATGTTGCCTATTAATGAGGGCATCATCCACATTTAGGATTCTAAAGTGTTGGAAGTAAAATGGGCAATACATAAGTGGATCAAAATATTTGTTAATGTTTATATATTATTGGATTTAGAGGTCTGTCTATCATGCTGACAAAAAAGAAATATTTGGCAGCTAAAATGTTCACTACAACTCATCTTGAATGTAGCATATTCTGTCCTGAAGCAAGTTTATGCCAGTGCTATGTATCCAAGACTAGTGCTTTATTTTGATTAAAATACAGTTGAGGAAAATACAGATAGTCCTTGACTTACAAGCACAGTTGCGACCAGAATTTCCATTGCGAAGTAAGGCAGTTGTTAAGTGAATCATGCCTCATTTTACAACATTTTTTGCTACAGTTGTTAAGCAAATTACGCAATTATTAATTTTGCTTCCCCGACTGACTTTCTTTTTGGAAGCTGTTGCAAATGGTGATCACGTGACCCTGGGACTCTGCAACTGTCATCAGTAGATGCCAGTTGCCATGCAACAAATCTTGATTACGTGACCATGGGGATACGGTGACAGTTCTAAGTGTAAGGACTCATAAGTCATTTTTTTCATTGCCATTATAAATTCATACGGTTACTAAATGGATGTAAGTCGAGGACTACCTGTAATAGGGGAAAGAAAAACTGGTCTTGGGGACAGAAGGTAATGCTTCAGTTGCATATTCTGCTTATCAATGGAACTTGGATTAGTTGAATATTTCATTTTAATTAAGACAATAACAAAGTATGTAAATCTTATTTCTGGGTATATTAATTATGTCTTTAGGTGGTTAAAGAGTGGTTGATTTCTTTTTTTAAATAAAAGCCATATTTGGCTTGCAGCCTTTAAACCTAAGCATTATTGTCAGTGTGCTCATCTGCTTTAAATCAACTTTTGCAAACAGGTTCAGTGTTCAAAGTGAATAAACACATCAAATTTTGATATTTTCTAGCATTATGATGCCATAATGAGATACATCAGCCAGCCACCTCTCTTGCTTGATGTGCATATACACAAGCCAATGCTCAATGCTCGCACGTGGATGGACTCGCTACTAGCATTTTTCCCTGGATTGCAAGTAAGTTTTGCATGTGCAAAAACATTTTCATCCAATGATATACTGAGTTTCTGAGCCACTCAATTCCAAAGCATCTCTAGATGGCTTCACAAGGTAGAAGAGCAACAATATATAAAAAAACAACCAACGTTCAGGAGACAACATAATCTCTAATTCAGAGGTTCTCAACCTGTGGGTCGGGCCCCCATTTGGGGTCGATCGACCATTTCATGGGGGTCGCCAAGCAAGGCTGTCCGCCATTTTTTTCCCCTTTTTTGGCGGGTGCCTTACCTCCCTTGGGCTGGGCCCGCTGGTGGTCGTCCTGCTCCGTCTCTGCCACTTGCCAGCTGGCGCAGGGGGCAGAACCACGCATGCGCGGCGCTCCCGGGCAGGGAAAGTCCTCAACTTACGACCGGTTGGGTAGTCCTCGACTTACGACCGGTTTAGTCCTTGACTTACGATCGGTTTAGTCCTCAACTTACGACCGGTTGGGGTCGCGGCATTAAAAAGGTTGAGAACCACTGCTCTAATTACATCCCCCTCAATTATATTAGTCCTCAAATAATACGATGAATTTTCACAGCGTTCTTTATCTAGCCACAGGGACATTTTTCTCCCTAAATTCTAAATTTGTTAGTCATTAAGAATGTGTGTAAAATTATTAGATGCTCCACATTTATCTTGTACTTGTTAACATTGTATTTCTTAAGCAATTTCAACTGATGCACCAGCATTTTTTAAAGTAATTTGTATTTATTATAAATGATAATTTTATAGACAGGTTACTTTATATTTTTTTTAAAGATTGCCACAAAGGATGTGCAAATTTGAAGTGCCTCATTTTGACTTTTTCAAATCTGAAATACTGTCAAAATGTTCAAAACAGCCTATATCAAATACAAAAAACTGGCAAACCCAAAACAATATTTCAAACTTGCCACAGACTATTTTGAATTTAAAATGGGTCAAATTTGATACTTTTTGTATTGTACTAACTGCTACATTCTCCAAGCAAAATGATTGTTTTTAATTATAGGACATAAATAGTGATGTCACTATTTCACTTTTACTGAATAATTTACCTTTTTAAAATAAATGTAAAATTAATTCTGTTTCCATTAGATTATTGTTAACTTGCAATCTTACTCGTTGTTTTGCTGTATTCCCTGTGCTGTGAATTGGAAAAGAATTTATTCTTTTATTTAAAAATAATGTGCTGTACCTTTTTTGCTTGGATTCTAGGTACTGAAAGGTGATATTCGACCTGCTATAGAAACTCATGAAATGCTTTATCAGGTGATAAAAAAGCATAATTTCCTTCCTGAGGTAAGGCAATGACCATGTCTTATGAATTCACTTAGGGAGTATAAGTATGAAGTATAAATTTCACATATTAGGAGAAAATACTTTAATAGTGAGTCCATGAGTATTAAGAATATTTAACAGTGTTCACCTAGTACTTTTAGTCAATTTTTATTCTTTGAAATTTTGCATTAATAATCTTGTCACTTTTCAAAGGGCCAATCACACACTGTCTCTCCTAAATAAGCTTTGAATTTTGACTAAATACGTGAATCCTTAAAAGGACATGCATGGATATATGTGAAAATAAATTATATTTACACAATATAATATTTAATAGGGTATTTGGTTATTTTGCTTTGTCTATTTCTAAAAGATTTATTCATTTCATTTTACCACTGATTGTCTTATTTTGAAGTTGAAAATAGAATATTTGGACAGCCTCCCATAAATATTTTTTTAAAAAAACCTTCAAATAACGAATGATCATGAATGATAAGAGTAAGCTCATTCAATGACCAAAATCAGTGTTATTCTTACATTTTGTGGATTTGCTGTGTATTTATAGCATTTAAATTAGAAGAGATTTTTGGATGAAAATGAATCAAATGTGTTACTCTGTCCATAAATGAATTGTCCATCTTAATTGCTGTAGATGTTGAAAATGTCTTTTGAGTCTCTTTTGCTATGTTGTGCCATATCATTCCGGCATATTCTGTTTCATTCATTTGAGAGTTTATAGTCCAGTAGAAGCAGACTTAAGACAGAGGTCGTCATTGTAGCACCTGCAGCACTACTTGGTGACATCTGTTGATCAATTTTTAAAAAGAAATTTAGCAATCAAAGTTTTAAAAGACAACCCAAGTTTCAGAAGATTTCTGTTTCTTTGCAAGGCAATGTAGGAAATTTGGGGTATTTGAATGTTTTAATTTATTTTTTTCCAGGAATGCTAGAAGTTATTCCTCCAAAGAAGAATAATTCAGTATTTTTATCTTTCCTCTTTGTCTCGTTCAGGCATTCACAACAGACTTCCGGGTTCATTGGGCTCAGCATCCTTTACGGCCAGAATTTGCAGAAAGCACATATTTCTTGTATAAAGTAAGTTCTTCAGATTCAAGATACGTTACATTCTAGAAAATAGCAGGAAAGCCATTAAAAATGAAACCCAGATATATGCAGTATCTTCTCGTTGCAGAACTCATTTTGCCTCAGGTTATCGAGCAAAGCTGCTTGGTTATTCAAGTCTGACTGATGAAAATATTTTTGTGAAATTTGTTATGCTGAGAGATGGCAGTAACTTATCAGGGGTAGTCAACCTTGGCTCTTTTATGACTTGTGGACTTCAATTCCCAGAATTCCTGAGCCAGCTTAGCTGGCTCAGGAATTCTGGGAGTTGAAGTCCACGAGTCATAAAAGACCCAAGGTTGACTACCCCTGATTTAGATGGTTCAGAAAAAAGCTTATTTGGTGATTATGGGTTGTGCTAGATAAGTGCAATTGCTATACTAGAAAACAGAACCTTTCTTAATTTTAGTAGATATTAAGACAACAGGAGGAATAGTTATATTTATTTCAGCATAACTTAAGCACTGGGGTGATTGTTTTGATTTAAGTTCTGGATTTCTGGAATCCTTAATTTTAGCCTACGTAGATAGCAGATTATGATTTTGAGTCTCAGAGAGTTAAAACATTTGTAACTTGTGACCAGCACAATATTTAAATAAAATTTAAATTGATTTGACTGAATGGAGAAAATAATTCTGGAGTATATTTTCAATTTTTGTTAGAAGACTAAAACTATATTTTAAAACCTTATTGGAATTAAGATAATTAGCATGCAGTTCTGTTGAGATATTGTCATATTTCACAACAAAAATACTTTTATTTGGAATTTTCTTTAAAGGTACAGAAGCAGCCTCTAAGTATGGTCTTTAACAGGCTAAAATTCCTAATGAGTTTTAGAACTTTATGACTTCATATGAAGACCTTAAAATGCCTCAGAGATCGAATATCAGACAGTTAAGGTTTTAATCAAGATAATATATTAATCCAAATTATTTCCCTGAAAATAGGCTACTGGTGATCCCTATTATCTAGAAGTAGGAAAAACTCTAATTGAAAACTTAAATAAATATGCCCGGGTGCCTTGTGGATTTGCTGCTATGAAGGATGTTCGCACTGGAAGCCATGAGGACAGGTAACTAAATTTTTCAAAAATCGTGAGACAAAAGTCTGTAAAATTTACTTAAAATTTTTGATGTTCATTTGCTGGTAAAGAACATTGGGGAAAATAGGAATGGACGCTAATTGGATTTTTTTCTTTTTAATGTTACTATTTTATTATGTCCAATAACATTCAATTATTATCTTAGGAAAATATTTGTGTAGAGGTACCTCCAAGATAGCTAATGAAAATTTTAAACTAAAAACAATTAAGACTTTATAATAGAAACTGGAAAAATAAGTCCGTAGTTAGAGTCCATAGCACCGAGAGAGGAAAGACATGTGCAATTCTGTAAACACTTTTACAGGCTGGAAAATTTTTTGCACTATATACTTTGTTTAAATATATGCATTACTTGATTATATATATTTATGCAATTTTGAAATTGTAGTTAATTAGTCTAGATGAGAAAGCAGTCATTAGTAATTGTTCTTCAGCTACTTTATTTAAAGAAGGATTTGTTAGAACTGTAGGAAAGTGAGAACATCAAAAAGAAGTAATATATATGCAAATGCGTTTCGTCCTTTTTCTTTTTTGTAGGATGGATTCTTTCTTCCTAGCTGAAATGTTCAAATATTTATACCTGCTGTTTGCTGATAAAGAAGACCTGACTTTTGATATTGAAGACTACGTTTTTACTACAGAGGCTCATTTGCTACCTCTTTGGCTATCTACTACAAATCAAACAGCCCTGGTAAAAAATATTGTGAGTTTTGCATTGAAAATCTTTGTCTAATTAAATTAATCATTTTATCTTAAGTATTCTTTCTATTCTTACAGTGTGCAGAGAGTATGCAGAATATGATTAGGAATATGATTATGAAATTTGGAAATAAAATCTTGATCAATTGGAAGAAGAGTCTGCCTCTGTCTACATATCATTCTTATATATTTGGATGGTTTATTTCCTAAAATAATGTGGTGGTTTATAGGCATTAAAATGTAGCTCTAAACTTAGCAGAGTGTGTGTATGTCTTTTTTTCCCTACAGACTACAGAATACATGGAGTTGGATGATAGTAATTTTGATTGGACTTGTCCTAACACCCAAATCCTGTTTCCCAATGATCCAATGTATGCTCAGAGTATAAGGGAACCCCTGAAAAATGTGGTGGACAAGAGCTGCCCTAGGAGTATTTCAAGACTGTAAGAGTTGTTCCTATTTTCCATTTTCTGGAGTTTTAAAGAAATATAGAAAAATGATTATGTTAATACACGTGTTTGTTTAGGCTAAATTAAGTCCTGCTATTAATATTTTATTGCTCATTTTTGCTAGGCTACCAAATTGTATAAATGTAATTATATAAATATAATTAGCACATGGAGGTTGATTCCCTAAGATCTAATTTTCACACGCATAATTTTTATTGAAGTATTTTGCCAAATCCCTATAATTTCTTCGGTCCATAACCCCTTGAAATATATGCACAAATTAACTACTCAACGGAGTGAGAAGTAGAAAGAAACCAGCAAATTAAAAGAGCTAAAAAAGAAACAGTTTTGGAACAATTTATAATTGTTGTGCCCATTGGTTTTCCCTCCGTGCCCGCTGATGCTGCTGTTAGGGAAGGAGACATAAGAAAATGACTTTGTACGTCTTTTGTACAGTTGGGCTTCTGACAGTTTGCTAGCCATCTGCCATGTGATTAGGAAATGTGCTCAGGTCTTCCTTGGCATGTCTTTTCCATTGTATTTGCAGGTGGCAATAGGAATTTAGAGAATCAAGTCCATACATATGGACATTAGCAGGCATGTCATGCCCCCTGCAGGGTTGAAAAAGCTGTGCTTTCATTCCTTTGAGGAAGGAGCCAGCACCATAACAAGGAATGGTGGGACAAGGCAGAGGGGGGGAAAAATGTGCAAACTTTGTTTATATAATACAGGGGTGTCAAAACTGCCGGCCCGCGGGCCGGATGCATCATACCGAAACCCCGTCCACCCCATTGCTGGCAATGGGGAAAAAATTGCAGTACGTCGCGACATGTCATGTGATGTTGCGAGTTTGACACCCCTGATATAATAGCACCAAAATAAGTAGAAAATGAGATTTTAAAGCTGTCTGGAAGATGCTAAAAGTTTGTAAAGTACTTTTTAAACCTGTCAGCTTCTGTGAAGGGATGGTGTTTTTTGTTTTGGGGGGGGGGATTTGGGGTGCTTTTAAATTAAGATTGACGTAGTCTTGTAAACATTTTTGGTAGTCATTTTCTTGCCTTCTTTCTAGGGTTGAGACATGACTAACCCAAGATCACCTGCTCAGGAAACTGTTAACAAGTTTACTACTCAGATACTCATTAATGGAAATCCACGATACTCTCAAGGCATGCTCATCTGCTTTATATTGGGACACAATCCATTCATATCTTAAAATGTTGACAGTGCTTGCTTTGCTTGCTTTTTTTCAGGGAAGACGGTTTAGGCAGCGGACCAAAGCCTCCACTGAGAGCCAGGGATTTCATGGCCAGTAATCCTGAACATTTAGAGATACTGAAAAAGATGGGAGTCAGCTTGATTCATCTCAAAGATGGACGAGTACAATTGGTGCAGCATGCTATCCAAGTAAGGCCTCACTTTGCCTTAACCCACAGAATGATCTTCTTTTCATTTATGTATTCATAAGTCTTATAAAGTCCTTTTTGAAATGCTTGCTCTAATTTCTGTGAAATATTTGGACAATACATACTATTGTCATGCTATTTACAATAGAGATAATAAGGATATTATAATCCACTTAGCCATGCTTGGATGTCATGGTGATAATAGTTTCAGGAGACTCAGATTGAAATCATAGGAAAATTAAAGTTAATTTATATATATACATATTTGAGACCAGGACCTGAACTATCTTTATGGTGGCACCAGTGTCTTTGGAATTCCTTTTTAAATAATAATTGTTCTAAAACTCCTTTAGCCAACCATTAGGCCAACTCAGTTATAAAGATCTCTCTCCAAACATCTTTTAGTTATTTTGGATTTAGTAGAAAGCTCTAGGAAATGCTAACTAAAATATTAACTTTTTTTTACTTTTATCAGGCAGCAAGTTCACTGGATGCTGAAGATGGTTTACGGTTCATGCAAGAAATGATTGAGTTATCCAGTCAGCAACAAAAAGAGCAACAGCTACCTCCACGTGCAGTTCAAATTATTTCCCATCCATTTTTTGGGCGGGTAGTTTTGACAGCAGGACCTGCACAGTTTGGAATGGATCTGTCTAAGGACCAATCTGGGGTATGTGTTGTCTTTGAAAATATCTTATATTTTGTAGTATGTGTAAGTGCAAAAAGTGAAGTTATTGACATGTCCTCAGAATATCTTACGAGTTTGCTACAAAGTGTTTTATTTAGAAAAGAGACTAACTTGTATAAAAGGGGTCCATATGATACATCCATTTTTTTTTAGTAACTAGCGAGTAATCAGTTAATGCAAAAAGGACATTTTATTTATTTATTTCATTTGGGGATCACCTGACTTCAAAAAGACTCTGAGAAGCTTACAGTTCACACAAAAAACCCCAAACAATAAAAAAGTGCCTCCAGAAAAGTTGAATGACCAAATATGTTGTAAACCAATTAAAATCTATTCAAACCTCATGTGGATTTTTGACAACTTAGAAATAGCTTTAAGGTGGGAGTCATATGGGAGATGCAACTACCATGAGAGAAGAGGCACACTTCCCAGGTCTCAATAGATCACATTCTTTAATTGATGATCACTAATCTTACTGGGCAGGCCAAAACTATTGAAGATAGACAGTCTCTTGGATAACTGGGCCCCCATTAGTATTGTAGGTGATAACCAGGACGCTGAATTGTAACCTGAAGCAAAGTGCAACTAGTACAGTTATGAAGCAGAGATGACACATGTTTGTAACATGATATGCCCACCACCCAAATTAGTGAGATAATTGAAGGCCCCCCCCTAAGATTCTTCTTTCCACATTATACAAGTATTAAACAAAATTATTTGAATTAGTATAAGCAAAATATGGCGCATCTATAAGGAATCCCAAAATTTGGAAAATAGTATCATAAAAAAGGTTTGTCCAAGCTAATTGAAATCCTTGCCTCTGTTAAGGAATACCACGTGCAAGAACATTTTCTTTCTTTTTTTGGCATTGTTCTCCCTCTTCGCCGCTGGCAAATTCTTAGAGATACTATTTGGAATCTCATTTGCTGTTGTTAGGAGTGTGCAAACTATTTCAAACTTGCAATGGGATATTGAAATCCCTTTGTTTTCATTTTGAACACCTGTGAAGACAGAAGAACACATTTTGAGCTTGAAACAATTTCCACAGTTCTGTTGTTGATCAAACACATTTGATTGATATGCAATATAATAAATGCTCCATATATGTGGGAGTATTTGCCTTTTTGATTTAATTTGATTATAACTTAGAGGGAAACTTTGAATCTTATCTTGATTTTATAGTATAGAATCAGAGGAATGGGTTACAGTCCCAGTTGAATAACTGCTTGGCAATAATCCTGTCTATGTTTGGCTTTGCAACTCCAGAGATGAGATTGGACTAAGAATATCTTCATTGTAGCACTGATGCACATAGAAAATTCAATCCAGTTTACATTATAAATACTAAAAAAATGTTTTCAACTTCAACAAGTGGTTCAGTGATTAACTGCAGCAAGATATATAACTTGAATGCACATACTTAATTTAAAATCTAGCATGCAACTTTTTTTATTGGAATAGTTGGACTATGGACTTGTCTTATATGCTTTCCTATTAAGTCTTGTGAAAATTAGAGGTTAATTTTGGGGTCATCTGATTCAAACCTTTGCATTCTAAATCACCAGATGCTGCAAAGGGGTTAGGACCAAATTTGATCCATATGCTCCTTGCCTTTTGGCTTTGTATTTTTTTTAATATAAAGATATAAATTGCATTTATGTTGTACTTTCTCAGTTATGTGTTGTTAACTAATGTGTAAAATGGGATGGAAGCTATTTCAACGCAAGAGTGTTCTTTTCCAGAATAATATCATGTTCAGCTGTATTTAGCAGAGGTGGACATCTTGCTGTTATTAAGCTACAAATCCCAATATCTTGCACCACTGCCCATATTGGCTGAAAGTCCAACATATGGGGGCTACAGTCTGTTCATATTTTATACTAAACATAGTGGATATATTCAGCAAATAGTTATAACTGTGCCTTCCATATCTTCTAATCTTACTTATGCTGAATATGATTATCTCAGTTCCATAATGAGCTCGACCAGTGTTAATATACCACGAGAATATTTTTGTTGGTTATTTGAAATTCATGTAAGAACTCACTAATTTGGACCAGCACTACAAGATTAACACTAATAGTTACTAAATTTAAAATATTTAAAATATTTTATACCCCCTTTTGTTATATGATAATAAAGCAGCTTCAAAATGTTCCTAAGGTTGATATAATTATTCTTATTTAATATAAGAATCTTATTGTTATTTAGCATAACAAATATAAATGAAGAAAAACATTTGTATTAAATGTCTGAGTTAAAATTACTAGCTATGTTCCAGTGCAATTTAAGTTAATCGATTTCAGTGGATTTATACATATTGAATTTTGTGTTAGACTTGATAGATACATTTGCTAGGAAGCTGTTCTTATGTTTTGCTGGTAGAATGCAAATGTTCTAAAGACTTGAATAAAGCTTTTAATCTCTTCCACAGACAAGAGGATTTGTTGCAGTCAGTAAACCATATAATGGATGCGCTGAGATTACCAATCCGGAAGCACTGAAGGAAAAAATTGCTCTGATGCAAAGAGGGCAGTGCATGTTTGCTGAAAAGGCACGGAACGTTCAAAAAGCTGGAGCCATAGGTGGCATTGTTATTGGTAAATTATTCAAAGTTATGCAAAGATACTGTAATTCAATTGTTACAGGCAGGTATGAAACTTGCACTCTAGGATATTATCTGAATGGGTTATACAGGTAATCCCTGAGTTACAAGCGTTCCCTTAGTGAATGTTCAAAGTTACGTGATAAGCTAGTGTTATAAGCTAGGGTTATGCCCCCTAGTGTTTATGAAAAAGTCCCAAAATTACAAACGTTGCCGCACCATGGCAGTTGTTCACACTTACAAATGACTGCAGGGGCACTGCAACATTCACCCTGGCTATTACCTCCCTCCCCCCGCCCTGGGTCTCCCTAGGCACTAGGCCTTGGATACTCACCTTGCGAAAATCGAGATCCTTTGCTTTCTTGGCTGCTCCAGGTCTTCAGTGCATTCGCAGAGAATGGAGGACTAAAGTAACACAAGATCATACAAGATCAGTGGCGCAAGGTCTTGCATGATCTCACGGTACTTTTGGCCTCTGTTCTCTGCAACAGAGAATAGAACTGAAGCTGGGGGAGGCTTCCGCATGCCTCTGGAGTCCCGATCTGGGTGTTGGAGACCTTTTCTGGACTACTGCCACTCGGAAAGGAGGCTGGGGGATGCTTCCGCAGACCTCCGGATTCTCAATCTGGGCATTGGGCCAGCGGCATTGGACTGCTGCCACCTGGAAAGGAGGCTGGGGGATGCTTCTGTTCTGGGCCCAGAACGGAGACCGTGGGTGGTGGCCACATGCTTCCAGAGATCTGTTCTGGGCCTTGCAGGCCTCCTCCTGCTTTTGCCGGGAGCAGAGAAAGAAAGAGAGAGGCTGGATAGATGACAGATATTCACAAGGTAAGATAATCCTCATAGGATTGGGCGGGGGAGCAATTGTGAGGACCCCAGGGGAGGGAGCATGAGGTATCTCAGTGGGGGGGCTTGGATGGTCTGAAGCAGATGGTCTAATCCATCATTAGGCCTCTCATGGCCTTTACCCACCCTGAGATATCTCATGTTCACTTAATGAGCCACTCATTCACCCAAGCATTAAATTAGCGAATGCGTGGGCGAAAGTTGGGAGTGAATCACATTCAAGGTATGAGATTCACTCCTACAAATCCTCGAGTTACGAATGGAAGGGGCAGGCTCCATTACATTCATAACTCGAGGACCTGTATAGTAACCCATATTTAACATTGAAATGGATAGGACTCCTTGAACAACTTCAGCTAGTAGTTCAGTGTCTTAAGATTGTGTTGGTATCTGAACCGTATGCCAAGACCACCAGGTAGATTTGGCAAAGAAAGCCAAATGGCAAGTTGGCATAGAGGCAAAAAGTAGACCTAAGAAGGGCAGTCCAGACAGTTGCCTAGGTTCATTCTGGTGACTTCTGCTAGCTTAGTGAATGTTGGCATTTCTTTTTTTAGAATGGGATATTTCATATTGTACTGCTTTGTACTCCATTTCTAAGCATGTATTATGATTTGGGTGGTGGGATAGAAGCTGTAGAGAAACTGAGGTTAAACCCTCACATTATTTTAGGCCTTGTTGCTTAGAGATGGATGCAGATATACATCTCTATGTGTTTAAAGTATATCAGTAGAAGTTCTTTATTCTGTCACTGTAATTTTTACTTGTGCTTCTGGGATTTGGATTCTCTTCATGACATCTTGTAATATTAGGCAGTGATATTACCTATTGTACAAAATCAGCACCTATCCAGAACATTTTTAAAGATATATCTAAAATTCTTTTAACAACCTTATGAGTATTTGTACTTCATAGATACCTTAACCCTAACCCTATTTCTGTTAAAATAATTTTCTAAAGATTATTGCTGCCATGAAAAAAATACATCACTTAAGTCTATTACTGCACATACAGTGCATCCAGAAGGTATTCAGACCCCCTTCACTTTTGTCAATTTTGTTATGCAGCAGCCTGATTCTACAGTTGTTGAAATTCATTTTTTTTCTCATTAATCTACACTCAGTACCCGATAATGACAATGTAAAAACAGAATTTTAGAAATGTCTGTAAATTTATTAAAAAGAAAAAACTGAAATATCACATTGGCACAACTATTCAGACCCTTAACTCAGTACTTTGTTGAAGCACCTTTGGCAGCAATTACAGCCTCAAGTCTTTTTGGGTATGACGCGACAAGCTTTGCACATCTGGATTGGGGGATTTCCTGCCATTCTTCCTTACAAATCCTCTCAAGCTCAGTCAGGTTGGATGGCAACCGTTGGTTGACAGCCATTTTTAGGTCTCTCCAGAAGATCTTCAATAGAACTCTGGCTGGGCTACTCTAGGACATTCACACAGTTGTCCCTAAGCCACTTCTGTGTTGTCTTAGCTATGTGCTTAGGATTGTTGGCATGTTGGAAAGTGAACTTTCAACTCAGTCTGTGGTCCTGAACGCTGTGCAAAACGTTTTCATTGAGGATATTGCTGTACTTTGCTCCACTCAGCTTTCCTTAAACCCTGACCAATCTTCCAGTTCCTGCTGCTGAAAAACACCCCCATAGCATGATGTTGCCATTACCATGCTTCACTCTTGGGATGATATTGGGCAGGTGATGAGCAGTGCCTGGTTTCCTCCAGACATAACATTTAGGATTGAGGCCAAATAGTTCAATCTTGGTTTCATCAGAACAGAGAATCTTGTTCCTGAGAGGCCTTCAGATGCTTTTTTGCAAACTCCAAGTGGGCTTTCATGTGTTTTGCACCGAGGAGAGGCTTCTGTCTAGCCATTCTGCCATAAAGCCCAGATCGGTAGAGGGCTGCAGTGATGGTTGTCCTGGAACTCTGTGCCATCTCCACACAGGATCTCTGGATCTCAGTCAGAGTAACCATCGGGTTCTTGGTCACCTCTCTTACTAAGGCCCTTCTACCCTGATTGCTCAGTTTGACTGGGCAACCAGCTCTTGGAAGAGTCCCGGTTGTACCAAACTTCTTCCATTTGAGAATTATGGAGGCCACTGTGCTCTTAGGAACCTTCAGTGCAGCAGAAATTTTATTGTAACCTTCCCCAGATCTGTGCCTTGCAATAATTCTGTCTCTGAACTCTGCAGGCCGTTCTTTTGACCTCATGGCTTTTGCTCTGCTACAAGTATCCATTGTTGGCTGTGATGCCTTCTATAGAGAGGTGTATACCTTTCTAAATCATGTCCAATCAATTTAATTTACCACAGGTGGACTCCAATCAATGTGTAGAAAAATGTCCGCAATTATTAAGCGAAATGTGAGGCATCGGAGCTAAATTTGAAGTGTTGTTGCAAAGGGTCTGAATACTTATGCCAATGTGATGTTTCAGTTTTTTCTTTTTAATAAATTTATAGACATTTCTAAAATTCTGTTTTCACATTGTCATTATGGGCTACTGAGTGTAGATTAATGAGAAAAATAAATAAATTTCAGCAACTGTAGAATCAGGCTGCCTGTAAGGAACCACTTCAATCCACATCTCAAGAAAGCAGAACTCTTGGAAACAGTTTCTTCCAACAGGAACTTTTATTAAGAGAAATTGATAGCAGGCATGATAGACAGGATCTGAGGGATTTCCTTACAAATCGATGTTTTAAAGTGTCCCTAAGCAGCCCCACCCTGCAGATTTCTAGGTGTTAAATCCAGGAAAAGATAACATCAATCCGGCTCCGTTGTACATAATCATTCAACAGCTCCTCACACCTTATTTTGATGACGGATAAATAAACCAGATTCCGGAAGCTGCATCTTTTCACCACCACCCCCCTTCCTAGCTGGCCGGTAAGGAGGAGAAGTTCAGAGGGGCATAGGATAAAAGGCTAATGGTTACATTGTGATGATTAGCAGACCCCAGGCGAATGAACAAAAGGTTACTTTGTAGTGAATAGAGAAAGTGAAAGTAATAAAACCCTCATGCATACTCCCCCTCCCCCTTAGGAATATGGCAGGATTCAGGAGAGGGTAAGAATTGGTTTTTTAGATCAGAGGAGATAGATAGAAAGGAAACATAGCTGGATCCTGACACTGCCGCAGAACAATTTACAAAAGTGAAAGAGGTCTGAATACCTTCTGAACGCACTGCATAAAATACTCCATAAAAATGTGAATGTGGTAGAAATGATGGAAATTTCCACTGGAAGTTTTAATGGAAAACACTTATGTTTACTACCTAGATGATAATGAAGGAAGTAGCAGTGATACAGCTCCCCTTTTTCAAATGGCGGGTGATGGCAAGGATACAGACGATATCACTATCCCCATGCTGTTTCTTTTCAACAAGGAAGGAAATATTATTCTTGATGCCATTCAGTCATATGAAGGTGTAGAAGTACTGCTTTCAGATAAAGCAAAAGACAGAGGTAAGGACAAAATTGCTGCTTTCTAATAAAAGGAGGTAAGAGTATGTCTTTGTTAAGATTAAAAGCAGTCCCAATAAGTCACACAGTAGTACTTATTTAATGATCAGTGACTGTTCATATTCACAGCGAAACTGAATGAGTGGTAGTTACAACTGGGCCTTGGAAGTCCCACTGTTGTAGTGTCCTCATTTTCAATGTTCCCTCCTGGCTTCTCACAAGGAAAGTCACTGGGAAAACTGGCAGAAAGGCAGAGTTGTAGTCATGGGAAGTCCTTGCTTAAGAACCTGTGTGGTCCTCACTTAATGTCAGCAATCAGGACTGCTGTAATTGCCATTGCTAAACAGCATGCTCACGTGACACAATTTATGTCTGCATCGCTTAATGATGGCAATTCCAGTGCCCCACCGTTAATTGAGGACTACTTGTAGTTTTAAATTTTAGTTGCAAAGAATATAGAAAGAAAGAATGAGAAGGAAATTAACTAACTGCAACTTCATGAAGACCATTTTTAGTTTTTAACCTGAATGTTTTGTTATTTTTTTTAAAGAATATTGCAATGTTGAACTTTGGGGATAGCGTAGAAGTACAGAAACAGCATAATTTGGTTGTTTTTGTTTGTTTTTCTTTCTACGTCTGGAGAACATTTGGGCTAAATTATTTTTAATTATTAAATAAACAAATACATGTTTAACCCAACAATTTTCATTGGAAGACTTTAGTCTTACAAAGTCTACTAGGTTCTAGAAAAATGCTGGAGAAAATTCTGAAATACGTATTATAAAGAATGGGGTTTTGGAGATTGTAGCAAACTATAGGTCAAATTCCAGATTTCATTATAAGTTTTGTTTGTATAAACTACCAGAAGTTGTCTCTATTAGGCATTCATACTTTTTTCTGGAAATGACTGCTATTTCAAATTATAATTTCTGTCAGACCAAGTATCTAGAAAGGTTAAATAATGGCAACTGGTCCAAAGTTTATTAAACTGAGATGTTTCATTATTTATCCAAGTAACGTCTTCAATCAAAATGTTTTTTGACTGAAGAAGTTACGTGGATGAGTAACGAAATATCTCAGTTTAATAAACTTTGGTTCAGTTGCCATGAGTTAGCCTTTTTAGATACTTTTGGCCTGGATGATTGAGTCTTCATTTTCATACTGTCAGATCAAGGCATTTAAAAGAGTATTGTTGTATTTCTTTGCCCATATTATCTTATCGATATCTTGAAATTGCAGATATTTTTAATTAATGATTTCATCACCTAACATTAAAAACAATGTAAATATGTGTGTGCATAGCTTCTGTACATACACCAAGGTCCTCTGATGCTACTTCTTATGTGTGGAAACTTTTGTTTTCCTTTCTGTTGAAGTGAGATAACAGTTCAAAGTATACTTTTGTTTGCCCAAATTTAACGAAAAGCTTAGTATAGAGAAAGAGCTAGGACGTATCTCCTTGACTGAACAGAAATTATTTTAAGATAGAAACTATATTGCAAGCTAACATACTATTGCTTGCACCCCACCAGCTTGGGATGATATCTTTTTGTACAGTACCGTACTTGAAATTTTTTATTTTCTTGTTACTGAACTAATTTGGGCATCTCCAAAAGGAAGAGCACTATAGTGATGTCAGTGAAAGTAGCATTAACAGAAAAGATGAAAACCAATTAATTCATAATCTGTTAATAATGGAGACTTAAGGGCCAAGAGAATTGTTATATTGGAATATATATATATAAGAAAATAAATATAAAATAAATAAATTAATTAATATTCTTATATTATAACAATACACTTTAATATAATTATTGAAATATATTTAAATAAGAAAATAAATATTTTATTGAAATATATTTCAATAATTAAAACATATTTTCATAATGTAAGAATATTAATTATATTAAAACCTGATACCCTTCCAGAGGAACTAGAAAATAATAACTAATACTTTGTATTTAATTACAGTCCAAGAGAAGTCATAAAAGCAAAGTATACAAATATAGTGAATGTAGGAAAAAATGCATAGGAAAAAAAAATGTGAAAAAAGTGCCAGGCAGGTTCTGAAAAACACAAACTCTCAATAGAAATTTTGCAGCCTTTAAGGTTCTGAGAATGATCAGTTGTAACCACATAGAAGAATGGTTATCACAAGAATAATGAAAATTTCTGACAATTGGGGTTATGAGTTTTGATTGTGTGGTTATATAACAGGCATTTAATCAAAAGTAACAATAAAACTTTACTTTAAAAAAAGAAGAGAAGCTTCATTCTATCTCCTATTTAAGCTAAGGCAGTAGGAAGTATTAGATTTAATTGTTAAGGAAAAAATAAATTGTGACAAGCTAAATTCAGTTAGTTTGAATTCTCTCTCTGTGTGTAAATGTTAAGTATGATCCTAACTTTCTCCTGCTATATTCTATGGGAAATAAGTTTGCTATCAGATTAAAGCCTTGCTTGTCACCTCCATTTCAGGATTAGAGTATAAGAAGTGGGTGACACTGTTTTGGGCTGGGTTTTCTTGCTCCAAGGCCAATTCCAGTGAGTGTTGGTGGAGGGGAGTGGTTGAGCCCTAGTTTGCTACTTGAGGTGTGCCTCAGAACTCTATACTCACCACCCACCTTTTTTACGTCTACATGAAGCCACTGGGGAAAGTCATCTGGGATTTGGTGTGAGGTGTCATCAATATGCAGATGATATCCAGTGATACATCCTTGTCCCTGGCTGTCCAAGTGAAACTGTTGAGGTTCTTTCCCATGTATGGAGTTTGTGAGGGCCTGGATATGGAAGAAGAAGGTGCCCTCAATTCTGCCAAAATTGAGGAGTTATGATTTGGGGACCCACTCATTTAGATGTTGGAGGGTTTCCAGCATTTCGAATAGGATGGCACCCTATTCAGACTTATTGCACAATCTGGGGATTCTCCTGAACTCATAGCTCCTACTCAAAAAACAGGTGGCAGCTCTGGCGAATGAGGCTTTTATACAACGGCAGTTTATGTGCTAGTTGCACCTATTCCTGGACTGAGATTAATCATGGATTACTGCAATGTGGAGACCATCCAGAATCTTCAGTTAGTCCAGAATGCAGCGAAGTCGGTAGTTATGAGCACATCTCGTTATGCTATATAACACTGCTACTGTGTGAACTGGACTGATTTTCAGTAGGCTTCTGGATGCAATTCAAAGTGATGGTTGTCGGCTTAAAAACCCAGTTTGGCATAGAATTGGCTTACGTGAGGGACTACCATCTCCAAAGAACGTCTGCCCACCCCACATGCTCCCAACAGGGAGGATACGCTCCAAGTCCTTTCTTTTAAATCTTGTGGTTGCTCCTATTTGGAACATTGTCATTCCCCACTCCACCCATATACAACAGGCCCAACTTTTCTCGTTTTTAGGAAAGCCATTAAGAGCTGGCTCCCTCACCTCCTCCTGCCATTAGAGGCCATTTGAGTGGAGTCCTGTTTTGGTTATTTTGTTATGGTGCAATGCCATTTCTATATTTTGTATTTTATATTTATATACTGTAAATGTTTTCATGTTATATGGCGGGAGAGGGTATTGTTTGTTTTCATGCTGTATGCTGCCCAGAGTCACACTGATTGAATTGGGTGGCTTTATAAATCTAGTTAACAAATAAATACACACATATAAATCCTGTTGAGATCTTATTTAGAGAGCTTTTTTTCTAAAGCAGCAGCTAAATAAATAAATGAACATACTTGAAAGTTGGTGGGTTTGTGGATTTATGCACATGTACTTTTTCCCTTCTCCTTGTGCTACCTTTGGAATGTCAGCAACTATATTTAAAGATAAAACGATTCCAAACTACATTATTGATAGCAGTAAGTATTAAAAATATCTGTACATATTTTACCAAGAGAGAGAAAGATAAAAAGATACTTTGAGATGTTTCCTAATACTACAACTAAGTGAATGGTAAATTAGTCAGCAAGACCTAAGCCTTAATTTATGGATAGTTTGTGCTTAAAAGTTATTGGGATGCTGCTGACATGTTGATCCAAAATCTAGTTGTAGAAATATGCCTATGTTGGGTGCTCTCATTAAGAAAACTATGATAAATGAGAGAGTAATCAAGGTATTTTCTTCAGTATCATCACTGCTTGGTCAAAAATCGCCACAGCGCAAAAAATTGATGAATATTTTAGATGCACATAAATTATGGGAGGCAACAACTAGCTTCTTAATTCCAGCTTCAGGAATCTAGTGCAGTGATCAAAGATTTCTTTTCAAATAATGCTGGAGATTAAGATTCTAAGTACATCCTAATATTAGAATGCTTTGAAAATTTAGACTCAAAATAGGTAAACATGGTATTGGACAAATTCTGCAATGCTGTTTATTTTAATGCTAATATGTTCAGAAACAATTGCTCAGGGTAAGGGGAAACATTTGGTTCCATGGAAACCTAGGTTAATTAATTTCCTGAGGAGAAAATTATCCTTGTTTTAGCAATCAAGTAAGTAATTTATACTTATTTCTTTATAATACTTCTCTGACATATATAAACTTGAAGAACCTCAAAGGGTGTGTATTTGGGAGTTTAGCTTTGACACTATTAATCATAGTTAAGAAAAAGTAAATTGATATTGCTTATGGTCATATGGTACTTTTAGCTGGAAGTAAACTAGAAATATTTTTAAAAAATGTTTTTTTCCCCCTTGCCTCTAAGATTTGGAAATGGAAACCGTGGATCAGATGTCATCTGATAATGATTCTCATAACCGGAAAATGGAAGAGATTTCAACAGATTTGAACTTGGTCTCTCAAGAATCTGAAGGAGAAGTTGATTTGAGCTCATTTGCAGAGTCAGACAGTAATAGTTTTCCTCAAACAAACCAAGATTCTTGTACCCCTGAATTCCAGGAAACTAGTAGTAGCAGTCAAGCATCAGAACAGGATAATCATCCTGAGGAACAATCAAAGATTGAGACAGATTCCAGTCCCAACAATAACTGGAGTAATAAAGATCAATCTATGGAATCAATATTAGCTGATTGGAATGAAGACATAGAAGCATTTGAAATGATGGAAAAAGATGAACTATAACTTCAAATACTTTGCTTGTGAACTTTATCGAGGAGATAATGGCTCTGATATCTGAAATTCAAAAAGAATTGTTCAGTATTGTGACAAGCAGCCAGGTTTTTATTGCAAAAGCCAGCATGTGTTATAATTTGAACTGGTTTTTTTTTTGTTTATTTGTTTGTTTATCTTGTTTTAAAAATGGGAATGTGCAATCGACCCATTTGCAGAGTTCCTTTGCATGGTGCTGTAATACAGAAGGGTTCATTCAGGGGAAATGGTATGAATCCTTCCTGTGTTCCAGATTGTTGTGGGTTAGCTTAGCATAGTCTTCGGGAGGCGAAGAAATGACTGCAGTGGGATTAATGCACCAGTGAGCCTGAGTGGGCAGTTGTAGCGTTACATCTTGGACCATAAAGGCCACGAATGGCAGGTGTGGCAATGCTGTTTTGAGAGTCAATATTGTATCTCAAAGTCTTTTTGGAGACCTGGTGGAAAATAGTTTGTTGTGCCTTTATGGTGAAGGCGAAGCAATGGGCAGCTGTGATTGTTTTGTGCCACTTAATGTAGTAAGTGTGCTGTACCTCCTTATCACTTCTTCCATTTTATCACTTTGAAGAATGACCAACTCACTTGGATATTATTCTTTGCTCTTAATTCAAGACAAGATAGTTTATAAACCAAAGCAATGTGTTCTATTAACAAAAAAAAGAAGAAAAAGTGGATAATTCTTAAACTTGTTTATGGATAATGGGACAAAAACCTCTCTACACTCCCATCACTTTGGTTTTGAATGTTGTGCATTAAAAGGCAAGTCCAAGATGAGCCAAACTTAGTATCCTTCCCAATCTCTGGAAAAGGTACGAAATTATCTTGCATTAGGATTTAATGTATTTTGTTCTGCATTTTTTATAATTAAGTGGGCCTTACATCAAAATCATCCTGTTCTGTGTGTATCTTAAAATTTGTATGTTTTCTTTCTGTAAAAAGCGGTCAGTATCTTAACAAAAAATAATGCATCCTTAGCATAATATGAAGTCAAGCAAAAACTAGTATCATGTATGGTTGAGAGGTATGCAAAACATGTTGAATTTGAAACCTTTCAACTTCCAACTTGGGTGAATCTGTGCTTATTGTAAGAATGCCTTCCTGACCTAGGTTCATAGCAGGTATTTTGTGCTTTGCATTCAGAGACCTTCTGGAAAAGTCCTGTTCAAACTTGGAACAGAGCAGTTTGAATTCAGAACGTTTTGCACGTCACTAGTATAGATTCTTTTTCCAATTGTAGCAGAAATATTTCACAGCAATCATGTTTCACGAATGTCTTAAGTTTAAATTTAGTTTCCTTTTTTTAAAAACAAAACCCAGTGTAGCAAACAAAGCAAATAAGACTGCCTAACATTATAATTTCATTTTTTTTCCATTTTTTTACTTTTAGGAAGAAAAAAGTCAAATAATTTGACACAGCCATATGCACTGCATCCTGTACTTGGCTTTTTCATGTATAGTTGATTTCTTGCAAAAATTGACAAAGATCACATGAACAAATGCAATAGGTAGTAAGGGAAGGGTTGTCATATGCAAGTCCGCTACACTGCATCTCTCTGCATTTTCCTTATTACTAAAACCTGACTATCCAATATTGCACCCGATAGCAGATTTCTGGAGGGAACCGGTGGCTTCCCTCTCACACAGCATTTTGTTTCCCCATAGAACTGAGTGATAAGAATGGGTTTCTGTATCAGGAAAAGGTCAACCGCCATGGCGTGAGAGTTCAACCAGCTCTGCTTTATATTCCAACTGAGCCGGGAACTGAAGATGGAATGAATTATCCTTTTGCTCTCATAGGTTGGAGTTACTTCTTGGTCACAAAAGATTGATACACAGTAAATGATTAAAACCACTTGTGTTGCAGTTACGTATGTACAGTCGGTAGGTAGGGCAAACTGCTGAAAGGTCCTTCTACAAAAAAAATTAACAATGTGTAAAGCAGCCTTTTGAATGTACAGATTAATTTGATACCTAGGTAAGACTTTTGCAGGAATTGGATGCAAATGGTCGTGAGTTTTAGTGAATTAACAAAACAAGTGTCCTTTAACTTTTAAAAAGATGTTTTATTTGCATACAAGGAACCCCGAATTGTGTTTAGATGTGAAGCTTGATTTTTGCGCAATAGGATATTCCTTCAGCACTGGATTCTTTAAAGTGTCATTTGATAGTTTAGGGCCCTGTGGTAGGGGAGAACGAGTTTTGAGCTTACAAAATACATTAAAAACACCTGGACTACATTGCATATTCAGAAGAAGAACACCTTTAGTAAAGGCTTTTAAAATATTTCTTCTGATTTAGAATAATTTGCCAAGCTGCTGTTTTCTTTAGTCCTGTAGCAGGACTTGCTCGTTTTATTTCTGATAAGATCATTTACTAGTAGCGTAAATTCACAAAGCATTTTGGACAGATTCATATCTGTGTACACAACCACTAAATTTTCACCACCTCTTACATTAACTATTAATACAGCTCTTTATTAAGAATTTGCACACCTGCTGTTCCCTATACCCAGTTCATATCATGAATGTCAGGTTATGCCTGCCATTAAATGTCTGCAAATGCTTTGAGTTTTCCTCCTTGATTCAGGGATTATTGAAATACTTGCTTGCCATTAGAAAGGAGCATCTGAAAGGTGGTAGTCTACCTCAGATATAGCTTGTCCTTTTTATATATCTAGTTCTTCATTACAGCCATAAGCCTGCTCAACAGTAAAAAGGTTTACATATTAACTACATTAATGGCTTTTTGGAGAGAAGTTACCTAATTAAGATCTTCACATCAGCCTTTTTAGACTACCATCCTGACATGTTTTATGAGAGGCACGAAAGCCACTTGCATGCATCTAACCTAAAGGGGAAGTCGTGCAGAAGTTGGCACACTATTATTTCATCTCTAATTGGGCTCTTCCTTAACCTGCTTGTTTTGTCTCCATCTTTCTTTCCATGTGGTTACTTAGCGCAGGTACAAAGAGGTCCGAGGGATGATATAAACCAACAGTCAGTACAATAAAGAGAGAACATTCTATGAATGCATACCATACATCCACATTTTTGTAAGACTTTTTACCAGCCCAATTTACAGCCATATATTTTCTTATGATGTAATTTATGAAAAAGTCTAAAGGGGTGCTTGTTAACACTACTGTTGGATTTTTCGGTCTGGCGATTTTAAGCGTATACAATATCCCTAAGGGCAAACGTGTACTGTGATGTAAAAGTCTGAGCTCAAAGTGTACATAATCTCTGTATATAAAATTGTCTACTTGATTATAATTGCTGATTGTAAAGATTTAATAAAACATGTAAATATTCTGGTCAAAGCGCTGCAATAAATTGTTCATTGAGACTTAACGATTTAAGTTGACACTCAAAATAATCTGTGCTCTCCATAAGTACATGCATATTCCATTAAGTGCATACACATTAATCCAAATTGCACATGTACACACTTCTTTTAAAAGACATGTCTCTGAGAGGAGTGAAAAGCAATATGCTAAGACCATATTGGCAATACTTTGGAAAAGTCCCTAGCAATCGTGGAATGCACTAAGGTCTGTAGAGGCCTCCTACTGAAAGAATTAAGTCATACATCCTCCAATGCAACTATATCCCCAGCTAGGCATAACCATCTGGCCTCCCTGTATTGAGGCAACATAAGCATCAGGTGTTCAAATTGAATCTAGGATGAAATAAACACAAGACTGTGGTTTTATTTTTGCATGTGCTCAAGGCATCCTTCAAAGTTAATTTTCTCAGAGGACCCATCAAAACCTTGCGGCACAATCCAGCATTTTTTTGCTATCATTTCCTGTTTTGAATCCTCATCATTTTACTTGAACTACTAAAGACTTCTTTCTTTAAAGGCACAGTAAATGTTTTGGGTTCTAATTTCTGTCTGGGAGATGTAACATGTTTCAGAAATCTAGGAGGCTGTCCAGACTGATTACCAAACACTGGACCTAATTGTGTTCTTTATCAACAGAAAGAGAAAGTCATCTTCCTTTATCCAAACTGATAGCAATGAACTAGTCCTGCAGCAGCTCAAGCTGCCTTAATTGGGTGAGGGAGGCCCTCATAGTGAAGAAACCACATAGGGTGGCAATGAAATGCATAATCCAATCTGTCTACTTATACAATACACTTTTGGTATTTCCCCCCTAAAAGTACTATTAATTGCTATCTTTGTCATTAGAATTAGCAAAAACCAATGAAGTCTGGCAACAGAAAAACATACAGGAAACTCAACTTACCCTCATTCAAAAAATAACAGTAATCTGGTTTTTGTAATTTTATTGTCTAGTTTTAGTGTCGTGGGTATAGTCTGCTACCTTGGTAACGCTATATTTTGTTTACCTGAATACCTTTTGATACCTCCTCTATATCCACAATGATCTTAAGGAATGTGCAAAATTGAGATAGAATGTAGTTACACTAAACACTACTTTTTCAAAGAAAACTAGAGCTTCTACAAACAGGAAAAAGATTCCTGTGAACAGGATTCTTAAGTCTCCATCATCCATGGTCTAGATTGTAAATTAGTCTGTATTATAAAAACAGTTATAATAAAACTGTCTGGCTTTAACTAGACAGTAAATCCTGGGGGCAAAAAATTATGCAGCCTTTTTTGAGCCCATTCAATGCATTTCTTGGCTTTTGGAGTTTGTTTTAGTAAGCTAAAAATCAGGTACATTTTAACAAATTAATTAGCACCTATGAGTTAGGTAAGCAATGCATTTTAAAACCAATGACTTTTCTGGTTGATGAAGTTTCCACAATGCAGCAATAGATGGCACTAAAGATTAAGACCAAAACCAGGAATTTGATTCATATTTAGCCTTGGATAAGACCCAAATTCTCTAGCCTAGAATTTCATTTCCACCCAATTATTTATGGAAGTTCATGAAAAGGTAGTAAACGGCATTTGTTCTTCCTCTCCTCAATAGATTTAAGATTTTGAAGTATTCTTTGATCAGTTATCCTCCAATTCAAGATTAAATTATGTTGGATATTTGGGTAGTTTAAGAATTGCAACTTATTTCCTATAAGATCAGGAGGTGGCTATTACATAATTGGTTGCATTAATCATCAAAGTAAAACTTGTTTGGATCCTGGAGAAGTTTTTTCCTTTTATGAAATTAAAAAGTATTTTAGCTTTGGTTCATTTTCCTCCAAGAATAAATGAACAAGTACATTTTTTTGACTTGATTGCTGAATTTGGTTTTCTTTACCTGGATTTGGGACTTGCGTGGGAACAGATCACATTTTAGATTACATTTATGCAGAAATATTGAAGCTTCAAAAGGATAACATAAAGCATATTTACGTTTGATGAGTTTCAAGAGGAGATATTTTAGCAGTAGATTAATGAAACACCCACATTCTGTTCCGCAGTCCATGTAGGAACAGTGCACAGTGGGGTATTTCAAAAATATTTGTATTTTGTATTTTGTATTTGGGCTCCAGGAAATCACTGAAACCTTTGTTGTATTCTAGAACTGAACACTTCAGGCAAAAAGGGGTTACTTTGAGTTGGTAGAACATGGGAACCGCCATGCTGTGCCAAGTCTAGGCACATCTGGTCAGAAGTTATCATACAGTGGCCTACCTGATGCATCTAAGAAGCCCACAGACAGGAACCCAAAGAAGCCTTGTTCTTTCCTTCATGTAGACAATCCAAGTTTAGAAAACTTTTTTCACTTTAGCGTATAGATTATATGCCTTTACAAGGATCAGATTATGAGATGCGGACCGCTCCTGGCTTTGCTATATGCTGGAACTCTTGTGACACATTTGGCTCTTAGTCTCTTCCTGTTTGCAGATGTTTATAGCTAGGATTTGTCCCATACATGTTTATAATGACCATATCCTTTTGATCATTCTGGCTAGGTATTATAGGAATTGTAGGACTACAATCTTCTCTTTCTACATATAATTGTAATAAAGTGAAGGATCTTCGAAGACTGCTAAATTATCCCTCTTTCTTTGATTCTGAATTTTAGTTAAGTAAATAATGAAGTATAATGAATGTAGCAGAAACATTTTTAGTGGAATTTAGGGAAAAGTGCATATTGCATTTTTAAAAAGTGAAATAAATTATTTATTGCCTGATTGAATGCACAATTTTGAGTTTTCTACACTTGAACGTCTGCCTGCTTCATAGCTGCAAAACAAACATATTTTTTTATTGTCCCATTTGTCTTGTAAAGTCAGAACATGCAACTCTGCTTGCTCAGGACCAAAGAAAACAGAAATGTCCTTAATGTATTTTTTCATTCATATATACAATTTCTGAGTCTTGCCAAATGAGCATTTTTCAGGATGATGACTTCCTTTATAGAAAGGTTCAACCTTGGAAGACCTCTCCAGAGGAATGAGCTAGGACTAGGTTGATCAGGAACAGCAAGATCGTCTCCTGCTGTCCTTGGCCAAAAAAATCTAGAGAAAATTGGGACAAAAAAAAAAAAAGGAACCAAGCAGGAAGTGTTATTTATAACAATGCTGAACACACATCAACACATTATTAGGGAGAAGATATGGGTGGGGAAGAAGCAGCTTGATAGCATCTGTCAACAACCTGAAAATGCTACTAAAAGTGTTGGACCAATGGTTTTCTTTGAAAAATAAAAATCTATCGAGGAGACCTATCTAATCAATGGACATCTGAATCCTTGACTTTAAATAGATCATAACTGACTCAAGTTACTTTGGCAGAACTGAGACAGAAACCCAGGGGAATATGTCACAGAATAAAATAAGAATGAATGAATGAATGAATGATGAAATTCGACAAATTTCAATTTGAACCAGCACTATCCAAATGCTACTATTTGCATATATTCTTTTATTTAGTCCAGATGAACACCACAAAACTATGTATTTTTGAGTTGAAAAAAGCAATCACACTAAGGTATTTGGGATGAAAAGTTTTGTTTTCTTGGTGTAGCCAAGGATTGTTCAAGTTGTAGGACTTTGCTTATTGACTCTAAACTTCTGATTCCTTTACGGTTGGGTTGACTGCGCCACTCCCTGCCACTGGAAAATGGATCCCATTTTGAACAGTATTAGAGATCAAACCCTAACCCTTAATATTGCAGTTTTTCTCCTAGAATCCCCATCCCTGCTCCAAATCCTCTTTGGAAAAAATTCTCCCCCTCCCAAATTTTCTACAAGTTTACAAGTAATAAAATGATAGAACCACCCAATTCCTTTAAAATTTGCACATTTGGAAAACATGACCTTTATTGCTAAATTATGGAGAATAAGAAATTCTTTTTTTTTGCTTTGCTGTTGCTTATTTTATTATAATCATACCTTGGTACTTGACTGCTTCAAAACTTGTTGAATTTGACTGCTTTGATACTCGACTCATTTTGAAGTGAGAATCTTTTCACAGTACTCTTCTTTCTCCTGGTACTTGATGGGCAAGGTAGAACTTGCTGGCGTTGGCTGTCTCGTTGTCTAAAGGGTCATGTGGTAAGTCACATGGTTTGCTCAGTACTCATCATTTGTAGTACTTGTCACTCCTCCCAGAGTGAACTAGTGATGAGTACCAGGGTACCACTGTACAGATACTCTTAAAACTTACCAGGCCAGATCTCAGTACTTTTTAAAAATCTGTTTGGCACAATTTGACTGTGGCCTATCTCTATTTTCTACATAACCTTAATGTGGGCATTAGGATGGAGGATGTGTGTGTAAAAAGAGAAATTTACTTTTTCTACACATAATGATTTTTCTAGGAAGAAATTTAAGGAAGCATCATCCAAACATTTAGACCAGTTTTCTTAGCCGTGGCAATTTTAAGATGTTTGGACTCCAGCCCCCAGAATTTCCCAGCCAGCGTGAGGTTGAAAAACACTTTAGATAACTATTAGACCCCAGTTAAAATGGTCAGAATATCTTACTCTGCACAGTGGAAATTGATGCTTCAGGATAGCCCAGATTTCAAATACTGGGGGAGGGAAGAAGCTTTTTCAAAGAACCTGGAAAAAAGATCATTCGGATACAGAAAGTAAGGACACATACTCAGGGCTTTTTTTCTCAGAGAAAAGGTGGTGGAACTCACCTCCCTCCCCTGGCCACGCCCCCACCCAAACCTGGCCACGCCCTCATCAAACCCTAGGACCGCCCCTTTAGAGAACAGGAATGCAAGTAAAACTCTCAACCACTCCATCTTCCTCCATCCTCTCCCTACTTCCCAACCTCTTTCTCAGCCACCAGCCGGA